AGTCTCTACAGAGCAAGGAGCCTTGGTGACTACAGAACACGTGGCCTCGTTCAGACATTCCCTGGCCCTCTGTTTTACTTGTGCAGCCCAACCCTGCAGACTGAGTATTTTAAGAGACTTGTGCTATCTTAGGCAAAACCCAAAACCTATTTGTTCTTCAGGTTCAGCTTCTTTTTCTGTAAAACTGGGATAATAACTTTGGATTGTGAGGACCAGATGAACTGGAGGATGCATACGTACACAGCAAAGTACTATGTGTCCAGCTGCCTGGACTCTTAGAGAATTTTGTTCATTTATTTTAGTGTGTGTAGCACCTCATGCTGCAGTTATTCATGCATATGTTCATCTTATTAGACAGTGATCTTGCTGAAGGAAAAGACTGTCTTATTCACTTTTGTGTTCCCCAGTTTCTAGTATGGCACTTGGCACATGGTAACATTTTCTAAGTGTGTGTCAGATGAATTGTTTCACTATAGAGATGGGACTGAAATTAAGGTAAAACTCTTAAGCAGCCAGAAGTTTCAAATTAGCAGCCTGGAAAACAAATTCCCTCTCTGACATGTTTCATCTGGCACCCACAGTGTTAACCCATATTGCATTTAGAATATGAGAAAAAAATTAGGAAATTTTTCTGTATGGGGCATCGCCAAAGACCACCCTTATGTTAGGAGACTTACTAGACAGACTCACAGGACTCAGCATAAGCTTGTACTCACAGCTAGGGTTTATTACAGTGATGCAAGAACAATACATACCTGGATAAAAAGGGGGAAAGACACAACAGGAATCAGAAGGAATCCATGTCCTCTCCCTCCCATAAGGGCTTACACAATGTACTCTTCCTAAATGAAAAGAGAGCAATATTTCCCTGCAGTGTTTTTGCCCAAGAAAGCCCATTAGAGACTCAGCACCCCAGGTTTTTATTGGGGGCTGTTCATAGAGGCACCTCTGCCTTACACGTGCCAAAATTTCAGACTCAGAAGAAAAATGGGTGTTTAGCATAAATCACATCGTTTACCCACACTGTCCAGGCACAACAAACCATCCTGATCAATCAGCTGTTGACTGGGAGCACTCTAAGAGCCAAGTTCTCAGATGCTAGCTGAGGGCCAACCTTGCGAGCAGGCCTTTCCAAGGATAGCTGTCTCAGACCTGCTAGGTTAACGGTTTCAATCATGTAACAAAAATCCAGATTCTAGCTTATCGTGAAACAAATTGGAAGAGATGGCTATTCTAGGCCTGCATTCCCATTTAGCAACTGTGATAGGCAGAATAGCACTCCCCCCAAGATGTCCACATCCTAGTCCCTGGAATCTGTGACTACATTACCTTCCATGGCTAAAGATGGTGTGAATGTGATTAAGGTAAAGGTCTTGAGATGGGGAGATTTTTTATTTTCTGGTTGGGCCCAGTGTAATCACAAGTCCTTTTTTTAATTAAAACAGTTTTTTTTTTCATTATGAAAGTATGATAACACATTAACAGGAGACTTGGAAAACACAGAACAAAGTTACATATAGTTCCACTATACATTATAGTTATTTTTAAAAGTAGATAAATTAAGATTTTTAGTTGGGCTTTCAATATCAAACTCTCAAAAATTAATGAATACAATACCATTTTCTCAAAAATTAACAGTTCTCTTCTACAGAGTAGAAGGATCTAGTAGACCTGAAAAGCACTATGAACCAATTCAACATAATTAAGATTTATACAATTTTCACGCAGCAGTAGAATACAAATTCTGTTCAAGTTCCCATAGACTATAAACTAGAAGACACTGGAACACATCCAGGGGCATAAAACAAGGTGCAAAACTTTCACCGTCTAAAGGTATTGAAATCATACAGAATCTCTCCTCTTATCACTGTAGAATCATGTTAGAAATTAATATCAAAAGATATTTGATAATAACCCACCTGTTTTCAAGTGGAATGTGACATTTACCAAGAGAAATAGAAGGGTCCTTCTAAATGGAAGAAGGAAGCAGGAGAGTCAGAGTCAGGGAAGGTGAGAGGTCAGAGTGAAGGCTCTCAAGATGGAAGGAGGTGCGGACAAGGTGAAGGAATGCGGACAGCCTCTAGAAGACGGAAAAGGCAAGGGATGTATTTTCCTCTAAAGTCTTTAGAAGGAAGGCAACCATGCCAACGCCTTGAATTTATCTGTAAGCAGGTTTCCAATTCCAATGGTGGGAGAAGGGGCTTCCCCACACACCACCAAACAATTCTCAGACACCAGCAAGGGGTTTGAGAACACAGCTCAATTCTGTACTTTCTGCCTGGAGATTGCGTCAAGTTCCACAGGTTAAAGGTTTGATCCTACAAAACTGTCCCCCCATTTCCTGCTTCAGATGCCAGTCACAAATCCCAGTCGTTACCTAAGTTTCTGACTCTCCAGCTACAAACTGGAAATTCCAACAACCCCCTCCAACTCTGGATACCAATAGCAAGTCCATGTGGTTACTTGTCCTGACTGATGGGCTGCAGATTAGAGCTTATCATCACCTCTTTCTTGGGTTCAACTAATTTGCTAAAGATGCTTATAGGGTTCAGAGAAACGTTTTACCTACTAGGCCACTGGTTTATTATACAAGGATATAAGCCAGGAGCAGTCAGATAGAAGGGATGCAGAGGGCACTGTATGGTAAAAGGACATGAACTTCCTTACCATCTCCAGGTGTTCTACTCTCTCAGCATCTCCATGTGTTCACCACCCTGCAAGGTCTCCAAATCCCATCCTTTTGAGTTTTGATGAAAGCTTCATTACATAAACACGGTTGATTAAATCACTGACCATTTGGTGATTGAACTCAAATCTCCATCTACCCACCCCTCTCAGGAGGTCAGAAGGGCATGATGGGACTGAAATTTCTAAACCTCTAATTTCTCAGTTGGCTCCACTGGCAAGCAGGCCCCATTCTTAGGTGGGTCCAAAAGTCACCTCATTAACATAGCAAGACACCTTAATCACTCTCAACACTTAGGGAATTCTCAGGGTTTTGGGAACTGTGAGCCAACAAGAATGGACAAAGAACAAATAATATATAAGAAATACATATTGGTCATCTAAGCAGCCACATTTTTTTCTTATAGATCATAAGATTGCATTCCCCATAAGATTTATTTTGGACTTTTGATCTTCAGAACGTGGGATAATAAATACATTTGTGTTATTTTAAGCTACTAAGTTTGTAGCAATTTGTTACAGCCTGGATAGGAAACCAGTGCGGCAACAAATGTAGCTGGATGATGGCTACCTTCTTAGGATGGCAACAAGCTGTTCCAGTTCACCCAGCCCTGTTACTCTGTGTCTCCCTGACACAGAAGACCAGGGCCCACTGCCATTTAACATCACATGCGCAACCCACATCACACATTTATGTTAGCCTGGCTGCTGCAGCAATGAGTTCACAGCCCTAAGCAGGCTTCCTGGCAGGGAAAACGGAGAAGACAAGGGTGCAGGGAGACATGCCCAAGGCATGTTGGTGGAATATAGAGTCTGCATCTGGTTGGGCCTGTGTGTCTGAGCGTGCATGCTCATACACATACAGGCATGACCGAGTGTCTATGTATTTTCTCAGGATATAGACAGATCCCCTGAATAAGGGCCATAAGCTCTTGGTAGATGTGCAGGTAATAATCCACATCGCCAAACAGAAAACTCTTGGACATTCACATAGAATCTAGAAGACAATGCCAAACACTTTTTCAGTCTTCCTGATGAGGTATTGTTTAGTCCACTCGCCCAACGTGGGTGTCAACTCTCTTTGGATCGCTCTCCCTCTTCACCATGCCTATTGTTATCTCCATCTTTCCTAACTCCTTCTCAGAGTCTCACCTCCACCTTGAAGCAGTGTGGCAAGGTCATCAAAGTTCTTTGCTTTTGGCTGTGCCACATGGCACGTGGGAGCTTAGTTCCCTGACCAGGGATCAAACCTGAGCCCCTTACAGTGGAAGCTCAAAGTCTTAGCCACCAGGAAAGTCCCCATCAAGGTTTAAAATGTCTCCATGGATTCCATCTGAGAGAGGTGGAGCTGAGCCTTACCGCACATCCATTTTTTTTTCCCCCAGTTGGAGCATCTACTAGCTGTCCTCCTCCTCACAGCACCATCTTTCCTACGGGATAGTTCCATGTCTTCTCTCCTTCCTGCTGTCCACACTGGCTTGGTTCACATGTTCCACTGAGATGTTCCTGCTAAGGTCGCCAGTGACCTCCATCTTGCCAAACCAGAGATCATGCCTCTCTCTTCATCTTTCTCAGCCTCTCAACAGTATGTGACATAACTGATCCTTCCTTTATAATGTTTCATAGTTGAAGTACTTCCTTCTTGGCTTTGATGACACTTCCACTCCTGGTTTTTGTCCTAGCCACTCCTTCTCGGTGGTCTTTGATGGCTTACCTCTAAAGGGTGTTCCTCATAGCTCATCCCCAGGCTTTCCATGTGCTCTTTCTCACTGAAGGAGCAATAGTTGAAAGTGGGTGATGAGTATATGGGATTTTATTATGTTATCTCTACTGTGGGGTGTATTTTTAAATGTCCATAATTAAAAGCAATTGTACCTTATCTAGGGTTACTCAAAAAAGAATAGCTAGAGTATATATATATAAAGAATAGCTAGAGTATAAACACCCCAAGCTGCAGTGCAAGAATAGAATAAAAAGAAAGCTGTATCACCTATATGTTGATGACTCTCAAAGGTACTCCTCCATTTTGGACCTCTCCTCTGAGCTTCAGAGTCACATGACTGTTTGCCTTCTTAATATCATACCTTGAAAGCCCCTTAGACATCTCAAAACAACACAAAGTAGAACTCTCATCACACTCCCTGCTAAACCTGCTTCTGTCCTACGCTCCTGAAAGTGAAAGTCATTCAGCCACGTCTATACCAGTCCATGGAATTCTCTAGGCCAGAATACTGGAGTGGGTAGCCTTATCCCTTCTCCAGGGGGGTCTTCCCAACCCAGGGATCGAACCCAGGTCTCTCACACTTTAGGCAGATTCTTTACCAGCTGTGCCACAAGGGAAGACCAGAGTCTGGGTGAATAATACTGCCTTTCTACCAAGTCCTTAGGTAAAAACGGAGGACTGTCCTGTATTCCTCTTTCATTTTCTTCCTCCCCTCTTTTATTAATGAGAATGTTTTAGCTTCAACTCATGGAAAGCCTAGCTACCAACAGCTTAAACAATGGGTGTATTATTATCCCACAAGAAATCTGAATGGAGGGCGGTTCCAGGATTGGTTCAGTGATGTCACCAATAAGTCCAGTATTTCCAGCTTTCTGTTCTGGCATCCTCAATGGCCTGGTGACGTCTTTTCTCCTGATCACAGGATGACTACCGCAGCTCCAAGTATCATGCCCTCATGTGACACCATCCTAAGGCAGAAAAAGGGGGGTGGTTTCCTCCCACATCTCTTTTTATCAGAGAGAAAAACCTTTCTTTAAAGCACCCCAGCAGACTTTTCCTTGTATCTCACTGATCTCAGGCCTAAACTAGTCATTGGAAGTGGGGACTGGAACTACCATGAATGGTTTGGACTAACCTATACTTACCTTTAGGTCTAGAGAAAGGCCATCTTCCTTGACCAAGTGGAAGGGTGAAAAATTATACACAATTAGGACCATGCCAACAAAGAAGACATGGAGGCAGGGGTCAGGTAAGGCTGTTGGGTAGGTCTGCACAGCCCAGATTAGCATGTCTATCACTTCAACCCAGTTACTTCCTTCACCCCCAGTTTAGTCCAAGCTACCATCCCCTCATTTCCGGATATTAGCCATGGTCTCCTCACAGCTCCCTGCTCTCATTCTTGAACTTCTATAATGTACTCTCCATGTAGCAGCTGCAATACTCCCTCTAAAACAAAGCACAAAGTAGGCTGTGAGGCTTGCTTCACCCCCCCCACCCCCCATCACACTTGTAATAAAAGCCATTCTCAGGACTTCCCTGGTAGTCCATTGGCTAAAACTCCAAGCTCCTAATGTGGGAGGCCAGGGTTCCATCCCTGGTCAGGGAACTAGATCCCACACACCACACCTGAGTTTGCATGCTGCAGCTAAAGAGCCCACAGGCTTCAACTAATACCTGGTGCAGCCAAATAAGTAAATAATTTTTTTTTAAGCCATTCTCCCTCCCAGGCCCCTTTACCTCTGTGAACTCCCTCCCTCCATTTCCTTGTATGCACCAGACTTGCTCCTTTGCACTTGCTATTCTCTCTGCCTGGAGCGCTACGATTCAGATCTTGGTGTGGCCCACTCCTTATTAATTTCAAACATCACCTTCCTGGAGAGTGGCTTCTTCTCAGTAGTAGCCCCCTCTCCTACTCTCCCCTCACCCTGTCTCTTTCTGTGCCATTATCTGTTTTGTTTTCTTCAAGTGTTCATTGCTATCTGAAATTCTCTTGTTTGTTTAGTTATTACATCTTCCCATAAAAATACAAACTCCTTGAAAGCACAGACTCTTTTGTCTACTACCACTGTATCTCTGGCAACAGTGCTTGGCATATAGCAGACAATAAACATTGTTCAAGGAATGAAGAATATTGATTACCTCTCATTTTATAACTTAGATATATTACATGCTCTTTAAAAAAAATCTCAGGACTTCCCTGGTGGTCCAGTGGTTAAGGCTTTGGCTTCCAATGCAGGGGATGGGGGTTCAATCCCTGATCCAGGAACTAAGATCCCATATGCCTCATAGCCAAAGAAACAAAACATAAAACAGAAGCAATATTGTAACAAATTAACTAAGACTTTAAAATGGTCCATATTAAAAAAAGCAAACAAACAAACAAAAATAAGTCTCTTTACTCTTGTTTTATATGAGACCCCTCCCCCTGCCTGCCTTGAAGAGGATTTTCTTTGCAGAATTAGTGTTGTCAAGGTTGACTTTGAGATGCCTAACTTCAAAGACCAGTTGGGGGAAGTTGGAGTGCTAGTAGGAGGCTCTGGGGCCCAGTGGGCCCCAAATCCTTCCTTCTGGATAATAATTCCAGAGGTCTATGGCTTCGTGGATCAACCCAGTGTAGACTGGGCTTTCTCATCTTTGAAGTGTTGATTGGTTGTATCTTCTCTCCAGGGATCCTGGCCTTTTAGTTCCAGGTAGGAGAGAGAAGACCTCAGTTCATGGCCCAAACCAGGGTTTACCATCTTAATATTCTGGGTCACACCCTGGTATACTAGGATGAAAAGGGCTCTGAAAAAGCCCCACCCTCAAGATAATTCTTTCACCACTTGCCATACTGACTGAAGAGTCACATTAGAAACTACTTCCTGGAGAGGGTTGCAATTAATAGACAAGATTCTTTTATTTGCTAAATCTGACATTCCTATTCCTGGTCAAGGCGCTGGCTGGAAGTATGACTGGAGAGAGGCAACGTGATTTCCAGGCAGCATTATGGACCATTTGAGGTTAGTAATGCATTTGAAGTCAGATCAGTCAATATAGTTCTGGGGTTTTCTACAGCCACTGTTTAGCAGGTCAGTGCAGGCAGAATTGGTGAACAAATGGATTTAACCAGAGTTGTGGTTTGGTCAGTCAAGGAAACTGAAGCTAGAGGGAGACAAGGGAGTTGAAGGGTATGTAAGGGAATGATCACCACTGACCACCGAATTTAAAATAAAAACACAGGAGAGGATGAGGAACATTGAAAACTCTGCCATGTGGAAATGGGAGAGGCACAGACCCTGAGTCCCAGAGGAACCGTAATTCTGCCACTAATTAACTCCCTCATGCAAAGAGGCAGCAATTTCCTTTTCTTCCTCCGGGAGTAGAGGCCTTCCCTTGCCTACCTCACACAAAGTTGTTAAGGGACTCAAAGGAGATAAGGGCATGGGGGGTGGGGGTTTGACACTGCCTTGAGAACAACAAAGCAGGATGCAAATGGGAGAGAGTAACATTTTTATTTCATAATTTTGTCCCAGGCCATATGGTGACTACTTCTGTGGGGAAATAAGGCCAGACTAGACAAGCGAAGACTTGCATTAGAACAGGGAGAGACTGTTAGGAATAGCCTTGAAACCCTGCTCAGTATCTTGCCTTGCCTGTGGACACAGCCAATTCTGGACTAAGCACATGTATCTTGTTTAATCTCATAGTATACTACCTCTCCCCAGTCTACAGATGAGAAAAGTGAGGCAAAAGAAGTTAAGTGTGTGTTAAGTCGCTTCAATCATATCTGACTCTTTGTGACCCTATGGACCATAGCCCACCAGGCTCCTCTGTCCATGGGATTTTCCAGGCAAGAATACTGGAATGGGTTGCCATTTCCTTCTCCAGGGGATCTTCCTGACCTGGGGATCAAACTCATGTCTCTTACGTCTCCTGGAGATGGGGCTAACCTGAACTCTAGTTTCTGCTATTCTCTAATATTCTGAGTTTCCACCCAGAAAGCCCCAAGTTGATCTCCTGCCCTAGGTAACTCATTATTTCTGGTCCACTGCAGACTCTTCTTAGCCCCGCCCACTCCTCTTCCAGTCCTCACCAGTCCTGGGGGGTTGGGAGGGATGGGGGCAGTGCTGGAGCTCAGACGGCTTAATTTCTAAATCCTCTCCCACCTGTGACGGCCAGGCTGAGGCACCAGGGGTTGTGTGACTGAGCAACGGACGCCGTGTACCCAGAGACCTGGGTACCTGTGTGGGGCTACCAGTGGGCCCCTCCTCTGTAGGCACCTCCTCCTCTGCCTGGGCCCAGGCCCAGCGCCTGCCTGCTGCCCGGTAACCAAGTCAACAGACCTGCCCTCCTGGGGCCGTTTCTAACAACATTCCCCCCCACTGAGAGCAGACCGGAGAGTATAAGGAGGCCAGCAGGCTCTGTGTCCCTCACAGACCTGTCCCCGCCTTCTGTCTTGCAGCAGACGACCCCAGCTAGTCCCAGGCAGGCAGCATGGTAAGCAGAGGTGGGGGATGAGGATGCAAACGAGGGTCCCTTGTGTCCAGGGGTTGGTGGGCTACAGTGTGGAGGCAGGTGAGGTAGGGGAGAGGGAAAGAGACTTGCGATGGGTGTGTGGCCCCCCCAAATGTGCTAGTATGTGGGGGCCTGTTCGGGGGGTGGAGAGAGACAGGTGATGGTAAGTAGGCCCTGGGTAAGAGCCTGCGCAGTTGCTGAAGGGCTTTGAATTTAGGGGTAGGGAGAGCGGGGTGAGCAGGACACGAGTAGAAAGTGCAGGCAATTTCCTGTAAACCTGGGCCCTGCTGGCCTCTGGTTCCAGCTCCCAGCTATAAGGACCCATCCTGCTAGGCTGTCCTTTCCCTGAGCCTTGATCTGACTCCTCATTTCAGCTCTGTACCAGGGGGGAGAGAAAAAGGGGGTGGGAGGGTGCTGTGTGGGGGAGTGGGGCTTATTTGGTATCTTTTACCCAAACCTGCCCCCCAGGCGGGACAGAAAAGCAGTTAGAAGTGTGGTTGGAGCCAGGCTGTCCCTTCTCTGAATATTCCTGGTTTTGCTCATGACCTTGAGCAAGTTGTTTGACTCCTCTGAGAGTCAGTAAAATAAGGTAATAAAAATACCTACCTAAGGGGGCCATTACGAAGATTAAATGAGATAGTAGTGTGAAGCGCTTAGCACAGTGCCTGGCACCTAATCAGTGCTTAACACGTGGAACTAAGTACCCGAATGACAAAGCCTGCAAAGTATGAAATTATAGTATTTTCACTGACAAGGAAATGCAACGGGAGCAGCCGCCTTGAAGCAACTCTGTCCACGTCCCAGAGGGATAGGGGTTTGAGGCCAAGTCTGTGTGACTCCAGGGCCTGGGTTCTGTGCCCACACCCAGAGTGAGGGGCATTGTTTCCAGAGTCTCAGGCATTCTCCACCTCAGCTGTGGGGGCCAGGTCAGTGTCTGGCTCTGTGCATGGGACCTGGGCAGGCTCTGAGATACAGCAGCAGGCATTGGCCTTGCTGGGTGATTGGTGAGCTGAGTCAGCCCTCTCTCATGGACCTGGGGATTTCTGGAGTCCTTTGTCCCTGAACCCCTCCCAGCTTAATTCATTATTTTCTCTTTTTAAATTTTTCTTTCTTTCTTTCTGTCTGTGCTGGGGCTTTGTTGCTATGCAAGCTTTCTCTAGTTGTGGCAAGCGAGGGGTACTCTCTAGTTGCTGGGTGTGGGCTTCTTGTCATGGTAGCTTCTCTTGTTGTGGAGCATAGGCTCTAGGGCGCCCAGGCTTCAGTAGTTGCAGGTCGAGAGCTCAGTAGTTGCGGCTCTCGGGCTCTAGAGCACAGGCTCAGTAGTTGTGGCACATGGGCTGAGTTGCTCTGCGGCATGTGGGATCTTCCCGGATCAGGGATCTAACCTGTGTCTCCTGCATTGGCAGGCAGATTCTTCACCACTAAGCCAACAGGGAAGCTCCTGTGACTTTCTCTTACTATGACTCCCCAGGTTGGGTGATGGAGGAATGGATAAGGGGATCCAATAGAAATATGGCCTGCCCTAGTCTCTGTTGTGCAGTGAGCCAGGCAACTTGCATTCTTTCATCTGCAGAGTAATTCTAGGAGGGGGCTCTTATTATTGTCATTTCTCAGGGAAGATGCCCTCAGAGTATGGAAGACTCTTGCTTGAGGCAAGTGGGGAAGTAATGGGGCTGGGATACAGATGGTCACTGTATTAATCCCAGTCATCCAAAAAAATCACAAGAAGTTAAGGCCCTTGTCATATTTACAAAGTCAGAGAAGTGTTAAATTTGTGGAGAAGGCATCCTCTTTAAAAAAATTCTGAAATATTTCAGATATGCAAAAAGGTATAAAGGATAATATGATGAACACCTGCTACCCAGTTTAAGCAATAGAATCCTCTGACTGCATTCACTTCCCTCCTTTACCAAACAAAACCATTATTCCAAATTGGGTGTTAATATTTCCTTTGCTTTTTTTAATTTTTGTAACACATTCCAAGAATATATAGCCAACATAAAAATGTATCTGTAAATGATGCATACAAGTTGAAGATTACATAAATAGTATCATTCCTCTTAATTTACTTTTTTTCTGGTAAGAATTTTTGGGGGTAAGATTCTTCCTTGCATTCACCCACGCCCACTTCTGAATCATTTTTTATCCATTTTCTCCTGTTGCGGGCCTTCTAATTGGCTTCTGTAGCTATGGTGCTGTGACTGTTCCTGCATCTGTTTTCTTGTGTACCTGTGTGAGAATTTCTCTAGAGTAAGAGCATCTTCAGCTTTTCCAATATTGCCAAATCACTTTCCAAGACAGATGCATCACTTTGGGCTTCTAGCAGCAGTGTGAGAATTCTCATGTCTCCACAACTGCCACATGATTAAGCCTTAAAACTTGGGGAAATTTGGTGGATGTGCTTGAGTTTTCTTTTCTTTTTTTTTTTTTATGGCCATACAATGGGACTGGCAGGATCTTAGTTCCCCATCACGGACTGAACCCTGACCCTCATCAGTGAAAGTACAGAGTCCTAATTACCGGATGGCCAGGGAATTCCCTCGTTTTGCTTTTAAGGTCTGCCATAAACACTTCTCAAGGGGAGCAGGGAGAAACACTCTGGGATCCCACTTCCCACACTGTCACATATCTTATCATGTGAAAGTCTCCCTTTCCTAGACAGTGAGCATCTTAAGCACAGGGACCAGGTGTTGTGTTATGAATTTCCAGTACCTGTACAACATCAGGCATATAATGGAGGCTCAATACAAGATGAAGCAAGTGAGTCAAGTCTCTCTGATGCTCATGGGGCTCCCCAGAGCAGAGACCTTTTTCTTTTCTAGGACCAAGCAGGTTACCCCAGTCCTGCTTCAGGGGCAGGAGTTCTTTGACCACCAGCCTTGAACCATGTGAGGAACAACTTTCTTCCCAGACTCTCTTCACCCCAGAACCACACACACCCAAGAGGAAAGAACAGCACACACACATCCATTCCAGGCCCACGTTCCCCTTCTTCACTGGCATTTCTAACTGTAAAGTGAATCCAGAGTTCTTTCTGCTCTTATAAACTTCATCCTTGTCTCTGAGCCCTAAAACCTCACTTGGTTCTTGCTTTCCTTATTAATGGACACTACGTTATTTCTGGACGTGAGTGGGTTGACTATCATGCTCTGGCAGACTCATCTGAGCCCCTCAATGTTCCTCAAGATGCTTAGTCACTGAGCAAGACTCTATAATCTTAGAAATGGTCACATCTGCTTCCCCTGAGGGTTTTATCCCCATCCCACACCCCCTGGGAGATGGGGCAAAGTCTAGGAACTTCTGCTCCCAGCTGGAGAACCACTCAAGGAAGGAAGGCAGGAATTGTGTCCAGGCATGATACCCTTCTCTCTGCCCTTTGCCCACTCAGCGTGAGTGCATTTCAGTCCACGTGGGGCAGGCCGGCGTGCAGATTGGCAATGCCTGCTGGGAGCTCTACTGCTTGGAACATGGTATCCAACCAGATGGGCAGATGCCCAGTGACAAGACCATCGGGGGAGGGGACGACTCCTTCAACACCTTCTTTAGTGAAACTGGGGCTGGAAAACATGTGCCCCGGGCGGTGTTTGTGGATCTGGAGCCCACTGTGATCGGTGAGTGATGATCAGGCCCTGTCACGCCTTGTCCCAGGTACCCCGGCAAGTCCTTCTCCGTAAGTGGAGAGCCCTGGAGTTGCAGTTCCCAGTTGCTGTAGCCAATCAGGACTCCAGATCTGCTATCACTCACCTCCAGAGTCTCAAGGTCACCGCACATCCCTTTCCTTTTTATTGACATACCCTTAAAGTCAAGAGCAATAGCAACTGCCTGCATGGGCCTGGTGACCCCACCCCTTCTGTGTACCCTGGGGCTCTGGGAGCCGGGCTGCAAGGGGAGGGGCACCTAAAGTTCTGTCTATTGCAGATGAGGTTCGGACGGGCACGTACCGCCAGCTCTTCCATCCAGAGCAGCTCATCACTGGCAAAGAGGATGCTGCCAATAACTATGCCCGAGGCCATTACACCATTGGAAAAGAGCTCATTGACCTGGTGCTGGACCGGATTCGGAAGCTGGTGAGAGAAGAGTTGAGGACTGGGGAAGTGGGAATTTGCATTCCTGTTGTGAAGTGATCTGGAGGCCAGATGAGGAAGGGCAGCTTCCATCCTTGGGAGAGTCTCCCAGACAAGAATTAAACACACAGGATCAGGACTAGTGAGGAGGGGAGGCAGAGGGTGGGTTCCAGTCCAGAGCTGGGTGTCCCCTTTATCTCCTACAGTAACTGGCCCGATGCTGTGCAGAGTGGCCACCAGTCAATAGGCTGCCTGGCCAAGCTATGAACACCCATAAGCAGTCCTAGATTGTCAACCTGTATTGTAGGGATGTGGACAGAAGGCCCTGTGAAAAACAGGGATCCAAACAACACTGGCCCAAGGCTCTCTGATCAACTTGGGCCTCCAGCAAGGATGTGGACCAAGTTTCTGGGTTGTTGATCTCAGTAAAGAAGCCCTCCGGAGACAACAGAAGTTAGATCGGGAGGGGGGCATGAGTAGGAAACCAGGTAGAATTGGCAAGTTGTGATAATAAATGACCGTTGGCACAGGAGTCAAGAGAAATGTCAGTGGAAGGTCTCAGGAGGTTTGAGAGAGGAGGAGGGGCAAGGAGAGGAGAGTGGGACCACCATATCAGAGCCTATTTTTTGCCATTGGAAAAGTCTTCCAAGGATTTTATGAAACTTTTGGGGAAATCGCAAACAGCACAAGCTGGTTCTTCGCTGTTGGTCAGCAGTGCTTCAGATCCCACGTTTCTCTTCGCTCTAGGCTGACCAGTGCACAGGACTCCAAGGGTTCCTCATCTTCCACAGCTTTGGAGGGGGCACCGGCTCTGGCTTCACCTCACTGCTGATGGAGCGGCTCTCTGTTGATTATGGCAAGAAATCCAAGCTGGAGTTCTCCATCTATCCAGCCCCCCAGGTGTCCACAGCTGTGGTCGAGCCCTACAACTCCATCCTGACCACCCACACCACCCTGGAGCACTCAGATTGTGCCTTCATGGTGGACAACGAGGCCATCTACGACATCTGTCGCCGCAACCTAGACATCGAGCGCCCGACTTACACCAACCTCAACCGCCTCATCAGCCAGATCGTCTCCTCCATCACAGCCTCCCTGCGCTTTGACGGTGCCCTCAACGTGGACCTGACGGAGTTCCAGACCAACCTGGTGCCCTACCCTCGCATCCACTTCCCCCTGGCCACCTATGCACCAGTCATCTCTGCAGAGAAGGCCTACCACGAGCAGCTGTCAGTGGCAGAGATCACCAACGCCTGCTTTGAGCCTGCCAACCAGATGGTAAAGTGTGATCCCCGCCATGGCAAGTACATGGCCTGCTGCCTGCTGTACCGTGGAGATGTGGTGCCCAAGGATGTCAACGCTGCCATCGCTACCATCAAGACCAAGCGCACCATCCAGTTCGTGGACTGGTGCCCCACGGGCTTCAAGGTCGGTATCAACTACCAGCCCCCCACTGTGGTGCCCGGGGGTGACCTGGCCAAGGTGCAGCGTGCCGTGTGCATGCTGAGCAACACAACCGCCATTGCTGAGGCCTGGGCCCGCCTGGACCACAAGTTCGACCTGATGTATGCCAAGAGGGCGTTTGTGCACTGGTACGTGGGCGAGGGCATGGAGGAGGGTGAGTTCTCCGAGGCCCGGGAGGATATGGCTGCCCTGGAGAAGGATTACGAGGAGGTGGGCATGGATAGTGTGGAGGGGGAGGGAGAAGAGGAGGAGGGGGACGAATACTAACAGAATCCTTTGTGTCTGTCCTAAATAAAGTGCTGTGGCCTCATTGTCTCCCAAATGTCTTTTTCTCTTGGGAAAACCACTGGGGGTGGGTTCCTTCATAAGAGATAAGAAGTATCTTAGACTGGGTTCCCCAGAAAGCAGATCTGACTTCAGATTTCATTCCAGGGAGCAGAATGAGGGCTGTGGTGGGTAAAGCAGAGAAGGAGGGAGAATTCATCCTGGAGAGGATGTAGCGGGATGAATGGCATCTTAGAAACATTCCTGGGGAGATTGGGCAGGAGATGAGGCGAGGGTGGGGAATTTCTACACTGGCTCCTTTCTTGCCTTGGTTAAACCTTCCCTGCATCAAGCATTAACTTGCCTGTACTTCCAGATTGCACACACTTTGGCTGCAGGGTCAACAGGGAAGCCCTGGGGGCAGGAGGTGAGGCGCTGTGAAGTTGCGAAGCTGGTCTGAGCCACGCAGGGCTGCAACAAGAGCCTGGTTGAGGCCAGGGGATTTGACATGGTGTCTGATAGAGCTGGTGCTCACTAGGGCCCCTCCTGTCCTCTTCAGGCAGGAGGTTTGAGTGAAGAGAGGTAGAGAGTCCAGAAGCTGGCATTAAGGCAGAATGGTGGCACAGCGGCAGCAACCGAGGAGCAATGGCTGGGGGTCAAGGGGGAGCCTACCTCCCTGAAATCACTATCACACTCATCACTTTTCGATAAAGACAAACGACTTGTCTTTAAACCTATGCCACAAGTACAACTTCCAACTGGACAGCTGCCCCAAAATCCTTGTGGGTAGATTTTCTGTAACGCCTTCTGGGCTAGAGGGATGGTTTGACCACTGGAGGTCTAGAACTAGGGCAGTCCCCACCCCCACTCCAGCCGCAGAGACGCAGTGCCTAGTGTTGTCCTTGGCACTGTCCCCCCTGCAGCCTCCCTTTCCCAGGCTTGGATGCTGGCAAGGAAACCCCAAAGTCAGCAAAGCCAGGAAGCTGCTATCACCCTTAGGGCTGGAAGAGTCAAGGTATGAGATGGTGATGCCAGAGCTTTGGAGCTGAGATCACCAGGTGAGAGCTGGAGCCATAGCAGAGCTACCCAGAGGGAGCAGGAGGGGGGAGGGGTGTTTGTCGGGGTCTTCCCTGGTGGACTGAGATGGTAAAGAATCCACCTGCAATGCAGGAGACATGGGTTTGATCCCTGGGTCAGGAAGATACCCTGGAGAAGGGAATAACTACCCACTCCAGTATTCTTGCCTGGAGAATTCCATGGACAGAGGAGCCTGGCGGGCTACAATCCATGGGGTTGCAAAGAGTAGGACATGACTGAGCAAATAACACTATACTATACCAGAGCCATGCAGGAGACACAGCATCACCTGAGTCACTTTCTGATTTTGAGAGAAGGAGAAATAAACTGGCTTTGCCTTTCCTTACACCCTCAATTTCCAGCCAGTGGGAACCACTGGCTGAACCGAGACAGACACTAGTTGGTAAGAGAGGACCCAGGGAAAGGGGGGTGCAGCCTGAGAGATATAAAGCAGGGCAGGAAAGGTGGGTGATTCTCAGAAGGAGGTGAATAAAACACGTACCTCCACACACCTGCATCTGGGCCTAGCCCAGGAGGCCACTCAGGTAAAACTGGAAAGGGAGTGACTCCTCCCCTTCCTCATATGGTCCCCCTCACCTGTCCCTGTCACTCTTGTCTCTTGTCTCGATAATTATTTTGTAATTAGAGGATGGAGCGGCGGCACCACAATGGTGAGAAGTTTAGAGGAGAAAACAGGCACAGCCAGGCCGACAGCTTCCTCCCTCTGTTTTGCAATGATTTGCTCAGAGACAGAAAGGATTCTCAGTGCCGCTCTGAGGATTTCAGCTGACAGGTAAGCTCTGTCCTGGGAAGACAGAGGCCTGCAATTGTGTGCATACTTGTGCGACGGGCTTTGGAGAATCATTTAATTATTCTGAAACCTATTTTGGCTGAATAGCTAGCTCAGCTATATCCTCCAACCTGTTTTTATTGATTTTTTTTCTCCTCTAAAAGGGCTGAATTTCAAGTCTCTATCCTGTGTCTTTCTATCAACTGGATTCAAACTTGGGGAAGGAAGAGGGATTATTTGAGGAGCTTTTAAAACCCCAGAAAAATTGCTGTTGTTTATTAAGCACCTACTATATACTAAGCCCTACATTCATCCTACCCTCTTGTCTTTTTAATTAATACATTTTTATTGGCCGCCCCTCAAGGCTTACGGGATCTTAGTTCCCTGAGCAGGGATCAAACCTGTGCCCCTGTAGTAGAAGCATGGAATTCCAACCACGGGATCACCAGGGAATGCCCATACTCCCTTCTTTAATCCTGAGGTAAATATAATTATCGTACCCACTGGACTGGAAGGTCCCTGGGAATAAGGCCTATTCTTCCCTCAGGATCCAGAATGCTGCCTGACACATATTAGATTCTCAAATCTGTTTAATGAATGCCTCTTTTATAGATGTGGTGACAGAGGCTTGGAGAAGTCACGTGACTTGCACAAGGCTACTCAGTGAGGAAGTGGAGTGGGGATTGAAACCCGGGTCAGTCTGGCCAAAACTGCTGCCTTCTCTTCCTCGGTGTTCTCTCCTCTGGCCTGCAGTAGATCGGGGTACCCCTCCAGACGTCACCTTGTCTAGACTTGCCGGTCCCCAGTGCCCAGACGGTGACTCAGTTGCCTCAAAGGCAGGGAGGGGGTGACGCTTGACACACCCCTGCCCAGGCACTGTGGGAGAGGGCGTGGGGGGGGGGGCAGTGCAGGGACCCAGCTGCCGGGGCTGAACAAGGGCCAAGGCCTTTGTCTCTTGGGCCAAGCTTCAAACGGTCCCCACAACTGACCTCCAACAGGTGAGGGAAGGCCCTGAGAAAGGTGAGGTCTTCACCTGCCAACATGGCTGGGCATCCACAGAGGTGGCCGGGCTCCCCTCCTGATGGCTGTACCAGCCAGCCCACTCTGGGCAGTTGGAGGACCACCTCCTCTCGGATCTGGTGAGGCCTCCCAGTTAGCAACTCTGTGGGCAAGCCCTGGCAGGCCTAGGTTGGACTGGGTGTGGGTGTGGGAGGTGGCAACCCAGATCTCCACGGGGTAGCTGGAAGCGCCCATCCAGCCAGGCTCCTGAGGACTTCCTCAGTGTAGGGGAATGCTTTCATCCCTGAGGCTTCTAAAGCCAGGGTACAATTACCTCCTGCGTGCAGACACAAGAGACAGAGCCCCAACTTTGGATTCCACCCAACACATTTCCTCCCTCGCCTCTGATGTGTCAGGAACATGCCTGCCTCCAAAGCTGCATTCCCTTCTAGCCTCCCGCCCCCCGCTTGCCTCACTGTTGCCATTCCTTCCAGTTTAGGTCACAGTCACCCAGAACCCGTCCAGCTCTGAGATCTCTCCTTCCTCTAAAGTCTCTCTCTTCCGTCTCTATCACTCATTCGATACTTGGCATGGACCGCCTTGGAGTGTGGCACTCAGCTTCTTTCTGATATCCCATTTCCCCAACTAGATTTTAAAAGATTACATGTGTATTTGACCAGTTATTATGTACACACACTTCAGAATTCAAAAGGTACCAAAGAGATCTACAAACAGCAAAAATAAGTCCCCTTCATTTATTCCCCTCTTGGCAGCCATCATTGTTCATGTTTTTTGTTATTATAGTATTTCCTTCCATACTGCTGAAGTATGCACAATAATGTATACTAATGTGTGCACACGTTTAAATATACTTTGCTCTACATCTTGTTTTTTCACTTAACAATAACATAGCATTACATATAGACATGCCTCATTCTTTTGGTGACAATATAGTATTCCATAGTGCACTGTATCATTGCTTATTTAACCAGTCTGCTATTAATGATGTAGTATTTAGGTTATTTCTAATTCTTTGCTATTGAAAAGAATGCTGCAACACTTGCACATACTTCTTTGCATATATGTACAACTACAGATTACTATAATTGGCATTACTGGGTCAAAGGGCACACACCTTTAATTTTGATATATACCTCATATTGCTCTCTTTAAAAGTTATATCCAGGCAGTGTCAGGATATTCACCGCTTCATCCGCCGCCGATCTCCCTTCACGTCGGCCATCCAGGCTCGGGGGCCCTGTGTCCTGGGAATTTCTCCTGGCTCCTGCGCAGCGCGGGGTGAGCCGACATGGGCGCCTACAAGTGCATCCAGGAGCTGTGGAGGAAGAAGCAATCGGACGTGACGCGCTTCCTCCTGCGGGTGCGCTGCTGGCAATACCGCCAGCTCTCGACGCTGCACCGCGCCCCGCGCCCCACCAGGCCCGACAAGGTGCGCGGGCTGGGCTACAAGGCCAAGAGCAAGTCTATGTCATATACCAGATCCGTGTGCACCGCGGGGGCCGCAAACGCCCCCTTCCTAAGGGTGCCACCTACGGCAAGCCTGTCCACCCTGGTGTCAACCAGCTCAAGTTTGCTCGAAGCCTGCAATCGGTTGCGGAGGAGCGCGCTGGCCGCCACTGTGGGGCCCTGAGGGTCCTGAATTCCTACCGGGTTGGTGAAGATTCTACATACAAATTCTTTGAGGATTGGGCCTAGAGCGGGCAAGGGATTCCGAAGCTAAGGTAGCGAACTTTGCTAAGAGTCGGCCGCTGAGATCCAGAGGGCCGCTGGGGGCAAAGCCCCCGCCTAGGCCCCGCGGAGATGTCCGGCTGCGGAGCTTGTACTTGAGGTGCGGCGGGCGCGCGAATCTTTAGCTCATCGCTCATCTCGGCTCAAAGAGGCTCATCGTTTTCCTCTTTGTAGAGTGGAAATTGGAGTAGCTACTAAATGTATTAAAGGTAGTCCTCCGGAAATGACTGGGAGATGTTTCAGTCATAGCAACTTCAGTTTGGTTTTGAAAGTTGTTAACAAAGCATAGTTGATGTTTTTAAATTAAACACAACTACGATTTGTATCTTGAAACTTGTTTTGGCATTTGAATAAAACAAAAAGATTAAATGAAAAATAAATAAATAAATAAAAGTTATATCCAAATTATCCCTCCCACTATCAAAGGCTCACAGCCTTGCCCATATAACATACACTTTTTGATCTGCATCAATCATCTGAGAAGTGAAAGTATTTTCTTGCAGCTTTCCTTTATAATTCTCTTACTATGAATGAGATTGAAGTTTTTCATATTTAAAAGCCACTAGTTTCTCTTCTGTGAACTGTCTTTTCTGTGCCCTTTGCCCGTTTAAAAATTACATTGCTCGTCTTTGCTCATAAGTTTGTTGGAATCCTTTGTGAACAAAGGAAATTAACACTTTGCTTGCTAGATGTGTTCCACATAATTTCCCTCAGCTGTCATTTGTCTGTGCCCCAACAAGGTTTTCATCTTCCTTGGTACAGGGACTGAAACTTAAATCTCTTTATATTCCTAGTCTTAACATAATACCACATACATGGTAAGTGCTAGACAAAAGTCTGTTGAGATAACAGAAGTAAAAAGAAAGAGATTTGAAAGACTTTGGAGTGACCTAAACTAACCAAGAAAAGCTATGACAAACCTAGACAGCATGTTAAAAAGCAGAGACATTACTTTGCCAACAAAGGTCTGTCTAGTCAAAGTTGGACTATAAAGAAAGCTGAGCATCGAAGAACTGATGCTTTTGAACTGTGGAGAAGACTCTTGAGAGTCTGTTGGACTGCAAGGAGGTCAAACCAGTTAATCCTAAAAGAAATCAGTCCTGAATATTCACTGGAAGGACTGATGCTGAAGCTGACACACCAATACTTCGGCCACCTGATTTGAAGAACTGACTCATTGGAAAAGACCCTGATGCTGGGAAAGATTGAAGGCAGGAGGAGAAGGGGAGGACAGAGGATGAGATGGTTGGATGGCATCACCGACTCAATGGACTTGAGTTTGAGCAAGTTCCAGGAGTTGGTGATGGACAGGAAAGCCTGGCATGCTGCAGTCCATGGGGTCGCAAAGAGTCAGACATGACTGAGTGACTGAACTGACTGAAACTAATCGATTCCTTCCTCTTACACCAAGGTCAGTCAAGACTGGAAACAGCAGAAACTCTGGAAAAATTAAAAAAAACAACAACAGGAAATCATCCCCCCAATCCCACCCCCACCCAACACACACACACACACACACACACACATAACTGGAGAGATACTGGGTAGCATACAGAATCGACACAAGGGCTGTCAAACAAGAGTCTGCAAACAGGTAGGCATCAAGGGAAGCTGGGTAGTCCTTCCCACAGTCCAGGTCAGGGCATGGGACAGGCTGCCTAAAAGGCCCCTGTCCCCTCCATTCACTGCAGAGAGGCCTCCTCCCACCGAGGCATTGAGGTTGACATCCCCTCCTCCAGACACTAGAGGCCACTGCTGGCTCTGCTGCCACCGCCGTAGAAATGAATTCTCAGCTGCCCCTGCTTCTCTGTGACTTGTTCCAGATTCCAGTCCCAGCTGGCCCTCCCGACCGGCAGAATGTCTGGCTTTTGCCTGCACCCTTGGAGCCAGGGAGTCTGGGAGAGCAAGAGTCGGGTTTTGTGGCAGGTAGTGGCCTGCTTCCCATCAAAGCCAACACAGTGGGAATTCGCCAGGTGTAGGTAGGTAGGAGGCTCAGAGACTGTGAACAGCCAGGAAAACTGGACAAATGCACTCCAGGCTCTGCTTTCATGTCTGGCTCAAGCCCTTCTCTTTGATGAAAGCATTTCTGGGTCACCCAGCCTAAAATACTGGATTCACATAACCATTATTGTTCAGCCTGTCATGATGCCAGAGTTTTTGTACTAAGAGCCTGTGCTGTGTGCTTAGTCGTGTCTGACTCTTTGCGACCCCATGGACTGTAACCTGCCAGCTCCTCTGTCTATGGAATTTTCCAGGCAAGAATACTGGAGTGGGTTGCCATTTCCTACTCCAGAGGATCTTCCCAACCCAGGGATCGAACCTGCATCTCTTGTGTCTCCTGCATTTGAAGGTGGATTCTTTCCCACTTGCACCGCCTATTCACTATACCTCATGTTACTTTCAAAGAGCCCTAGGCATTACCTGTATTTAGGGAGAAAAAAAAACAAGTCCTTAGAGGTTTTCCTGTCACACTGTAGCACCAGGTTGCAAACCCAGGTCTGTCTGTTTCCAAAGCCTTGGGGTTTCCCAGTGGTCTATACTGCTGGGCTGGTATCTTAGGTTGGAGTTCTGTGAAGTTAGGGACTGGACCACAGTCTTCTTTTTACATCCTGGCAGTTCTACAATATATAAGATGCTCAATTAATGTTTGTGGATTGGCCTGGAGAGCAAGCAGAAACCAGTTCTAGAAGGTTCTCTCAATTTCCCATGAGGTCATGGGCTAGAAATCACTTTTAAAGTGGAAGAGGTCTACTCAGGATCAGTTTGGAAAGAAAAACTTCGAATCTAGGGAATTTCCTCTCTTCTCCGCCTCCCCCCCCCCCCCCCCCCCCAGTGTGTCAAAATTAACAACACGTTCCCATTTGTTCATTATTTAATCATCCAATGGATTATTTTTGAATCCCACTAACTGTCCTTAATACTCTAGTGAGAAAAAAAAAAAGGACATAATCTCTGCCCTCCAAAATTGACATCCTAGTGGGGGAGGTGAATGTCAGTCAAGTAAACAAATAAATGCTAATCTGTATCTCTGACCAGTGTAAGGAAAGATGCCAAGAACAGCTATGAGAGGCAGGTCTGACCTACTCAGGGAAATCGGGCGGCCTCTTTTGACGATGGGGCTGGAGCAGGGATCTGGAGAAAGGGGAGGATTTAGGCCCCGAGGGGAGTCTGTGAGCCCTTGAGGTAGCGATTTTCCCCGGGTCATCGATCCTGTCTGTAGGAAGGCCACAGAAGGGCCAGAAGCTGGGCGGCTTGTTTGTTGGCGAATGCGTCACGCCTGAATGGAACCCGCCGCTGTCTCCCAGGTCCCATCTGGGGATGACGTTGTCCTGGTGCAAGCCCAAAATAGCCGGCTCCGCCTCCATCTCCCGGCAGCCCCTGCAGCAGCACGCCCCCCAGTCCACCCCCCAGGTGACAGGCCGAGCCGGCCTCCTCTGGGTCTCTAGTAGTTTCCGTGCCGCTGACGCACGCTTGCGCGCACAGCTGGGCCGGCCGCGTCCTACGCAGCAGCCGCGAGCCGGGCAGCCGGTGCCAGACGGTTCCCGGAGGGGGGCAGGGGCGGGGCGCTGCAGGAGGCCAGGGACTCCCGGCGGAGGAGGTGCGGGCGGGGGGCCCCGGCCAGGCTGGGGGGCCCTTGGCGTTTGCGGGCTGCGATAGGGCGCCACGGCTCTGAGTCCCGAGATAGCCGGTGGCACCCGCCTGCCAGGGCCGATAAGGCTGCCGGAGGGAGTCTAGTCACCGGCCGCGAGGAGAGCCAGCGGGCTCTGCTGCCCCCTGCGGGGGTCTCCAGCCCCAGGGAGGGGCTGGTTCTTGGTTCTTTCGGGTCTGACTCTACCTTCTCTACCCCGCAGCCCCCAAGGAGGCCCGCCTGACGACTAACGAGTTGCCATGGCTTCCTACTACGAGATCCTAGACGTACCGCGAAGTGCGTCCGCTGATGACATCAAAAAGGCGTAAGTGCCTCCGCCGTGCATCAGAAAGCCACTCACCCCACCCCACCCCATCACCACCACCCCGGGGCCCTTCAGAGGCAGTGCGGGGGGAGCCAGGTCCTTAGAAAGGACTGGGGTGGGGTGGGAGGCTTCCTCAGAGAGTGACCCCCTGTAGGGAGGAAGTAAACCCCTGGATGAGTGGGGGAAATGTGTAGCGAGTTCTGTTTGGGAGCTGCAGTGTAGGCTCTTTTTCCAGTGCACCCTCCCATCCTTTGCCTCAGTCTTCACTCCTACCGCATCCCTCAGCCTCTTAAGTGTGGGCTTTCTGAACATGCAGTGCAGACATGCTCAAGCATTGAGACCAGGAGGGACCAGCGGCCCCCGTACCCTCCATGGACACATGTATTTACTGTCCTTTGCAACCCCAGACCAAGCTAGCCCCTGGGAGGGGTTAGAGCTGGGACTTTCTCACCCTCAGGTTATCATCTGCTGATATAAGTATGTAGTCCTAGCACTGGCTGCGGAGGGGAGAGAGAGGGACTCCCGTTAAAACACTGCTGCAGAGGCAGCCCTAGCAGCTGGGACTGACCCGGATCTGAGTGGTAGAAGGGCTATGGTGGGCTAACAGGAAATGGGTCATTGTGTTCCCTGGTGGGAAGTGCCTGCCTTTGTCCCCTGACCCTCCCCTCTGAACCCACTTCCTGCAGGTATAGGAAGAAGGCATTACAGTGGCACCCAGACAAGAACCCAGATAATAAAGAGTTTGCTGAGAAGAAATTCAAGGAAGTGGCCGAGGCGTATGAAGTGCTGTCCGACAGTAAGGGTCAGGGTCAGGGGTCAGGGCAGGCCAGCACCTGTCACTCCCACTTCATGCCCATCACACTGCTTCCCAAAGCCACGCTGCCACCACCCTCGTCGCCTCCATGCCTCTTTCAACCTGGCAATTAAGTGCTCCTCTCTCACAGGGACTCTGGAATTCTTTGTTTCAATTCAAAGGAGCACCTACTGTGTGCCAAGCACCCTTTTATTCTTCCCCAGATTCCATCTCAGTGTCTGTTTCCCAGGGTCTGGTAGTTGGTCCTAACAAGGGGAAGGAACCAAGGCAGGGAACCCAGGCGTGCTGAGCCTCCTCTGAGCCAGGCCTTAGGGCGTGTAATCTCCATGAGTCTTCATAGCCATTCTTCAAGACAGGATTTATCATCCCATTTGTCAGGCAAGAAAACTGAGGCTGAGAGAAGTGAGGTAACTTGCTCAAGGAATATGACTCCAGGTCTTTCATTCATTAACTCAAAAAATATTCACTGAGCGCTTAAGGTACCAGGCTCTTGTTGGGCAGAGGAACAGTGAAAGACAAACAGGCTATGTCCTTGTCCTGATGTGTTTATCACAGTCTGGTCAGAAAAAATGGACATTAACCAAGTAAACGCAGAGACAAGGTTATTCTAAAGGAATAATAGGGTGATGTGATAGGGAACAGGGAATCACAGGCACCAACTTTTGTTAGGTAGTCACGGAAGGTCTCTCTGGGACATTTAAGTTAAAGCCCTGATTAATGATAACACAGTAATTAATCATTAGTTAACATTTATAAAGCACTGAGTATCAGGGACTGTGCTAGGTAGTTTAGGTGGATTATCTCATTTAATCCTTGCAGCTATGAGGTCGGTGCTATTATTGTGTCCATTTTACAGATGGGAAGGATCCCCTGTTTGAAGGGCTGAGCTGCTGCTAAAACCATGACCGTGTTTGTGTCCCCTGTTCACCCTCCTGCCCCCCAAGTGTCAGTCTCTGGACAGTCTTCAGAGGGGCCTAGCCTGGAAGAGGGGGAGGTCATCATCCCAGAGGGAGGGAGAAATGATCCAGTCTCTCTTTTCAGAGCATAAGCGTGAGATCTACGACCTCTATGGCCGGGAAGGGCTGACTGGGGCAGGTAGGTGGAGCGGGGACACCCCGGGACAGAAGTGGGTCAGAGAGGAGCAGGGAGGCCAGTCTCCTGCAGTGGGTTCTTGCTCTCACTCTAGGCTCCTGCAGTCTCCAAGCCTCGGGTGGGGTCTCCTCACTCAGGGCAGGGTGCCTGCCTTAAGCCCTCTCCCCATCCTGCCTTTCTTCCAGGAACTGGCCCGTCTCGTGCAGAAGCTGGTAGTGGCGGGCCTGGCTTCACCTTCACCTTCCGCAGCCCAGAGGAGGTCTTCCGGGAGTTCTTTGGGAGCGGAGACCCTTTTGCAGAGCTCTTTGGTGAGTGGCCTTGGTGGGCGTCTGACGAGCTGGACTTCTCCCTCCAGGCCCACCCTCCATCAGCCAGGAGCCCTTAGGCAGGAGGCTGAGAGGGAAACAGAATTCCACAGACAGAAGATTTTGTGGGGGTGGATCCAAGTGAGCGCTGGGACAAAACCTCACACAGGCCAGAACCCGCGTGACCCTATAGTGACACTTCAGAGACTCGCCTTACGTAAATGATAACAACAGTAATTCATTGTGAAACCTCCACAGTGACAGTCATGCAAGCAAGACTCAGAACATCATGGGACAGTGATAATGCCATTACAGACAACAACAGACGCCACCTATTTGAATGGTGAAATGACCCCTGGGAGATAGATAACTTTATCCCCACTTAGAGATGAGAGAACTGAGGCACATTCAAGTAACTTGCTTAGAGTCACACAGCAGATGGCAGAGCGGAGACTTGTGTCTGCCTGACATCACACCAGGCTTATGCCTAAAACTGAAGGAGATGTTCCTTCGCTCCCCACCTCCCCGGCCCCTTCCTTTATTTACAGTGGCCACAACTGACCAGGGAACTTTTTCATATATAATACTAAAGAGGAATTTGATTTATAAATCAGTCCAAGCTGAAATGTACCCAGTTGCTTAGCAGCTTGTATTTCAAGACTTAAGATTAAGCAGGGTTCAGGGTCTCCTTTGGTGGTCCAGTGGCTAAGACTCCATGGTCCCAATGCACGGGACTGGGGTTCAATCCCTGGTCAGGGAACTAGATCCCACATGCCGTAACTTACACCCAGTGCAGGCAGACAAATAAAATATTAAAAAAAAAAAAAAAAAAGAGCAGGGTTCACACATTCTGGGGGGCAGGGGGGGATCTTTTCACCAGATGATGGGTCATCTGCTTACTCATTGCAGATGACCTGGGCCCCTTCTCAGAGCTTCAGAACCGGGGTTCCCGACACTCGGGCCCTTTCTTCACCTTCTCTTCCTCCTTCCCTGGGCACTCTGGTAAGTGCCATTCTTTCCCATGCCTGCAAGCGTTTGGAGTCCTGGAGCCCCTCACCTCAGCTCGTTGTTCTCCCACGCCTTCTCTCTCATGTCTCCAGAGCCCTGCCTCACAGAGGTTCCCGGCCCTTTGTGAGCACAGCCTGCCTGCCGGGTGCAGCCTCTGTCTAATGCCCCCTCCTCTCCCACCCCCCTTGTCCCGATGCCAGATTTCTCCTCCTCGTCTTTCTCCTTCAGTCCTGGAGCTGGTGCTTTTCGTTCCATCTCTACATCCACCACCTTTGTCCAAGGACGCCGCATCACCACACGCAGGTGAGGGCTTCTTTTGGGACCATGCCGGGGCTGGGGGGTGAAGTGGTGGTGGGGGGGCTGCAGACAACTCGAGAGGCAGCTCCCTGAGGGCAGAGCCCAGTCCGTCCTGTCCAATGCAGCGAGGAGCCCGGACAGACTGCCACAGGATTCAGGCCTGCCCACCCAGTAAACTGTGCTGTCTCCCACAGGATCATGGAGAACGGGCAGGAGCGGGTAGAAGTGGAGGAGGATGGACAGCTGAAGTCCGTCACAATCAATGGTGAGGAACGGCCCAGCCACTGATCCCTGGCGGGAAGCCCCAGGCCCCAGAGCCCCCTCCCCAGTCTACTCCTCTCTGAACTCCCCTGGGCCAGGGAGGCCAGACTATTTGTGGGGGTGGATCCAAGTGAGCGCTGGGACAAAACCTCACACAGGCCAGAACCCGCGTGACCCTATAGTGACACTTCAGAGACTCGCCTTACGTAAATGATAACAACAGTAATTCATTGTGAAACCTCCACAGTGACAGTCATGCAAGCAAGACTCAGAACATCATGGGACAGTGATAATGCCATTACAGACAACAACAGACGCCACCTATTTGAATGGTGAAATGACCCCTGGGAGATAGATAACTTTATCCCCACTTAGAGATGAGAGAACTGAGGCACATTCAAGTAACTTGCTTAGAGTCACACAGCAGATGGCAGAGCGGAGACTTGTGTCTGCCTGACATCACACCAGGCTTATGCCTAAAACTGAAGGAGATGTTCCTTCGCTCCCCACCTCCCCGGCCCCTTCCTTTATTTACAGTGGCCACAACTGACCAGGGAACTTTTTCATATATAATACTAAAGAGGAATTTGATTTATAAATCAGTCCAAGCTGAAATGTACCCAGTTGCTTAGCAGCTTGTATTTCAAGACTTAAGATTAAGCAGGGTTCAGGGTCTCCTTTGGTGGTCCAGTGGCTAAGACTCCATGGTCCCAATGCACGGGACTGGGGTTCAATCCCTGGTCAGGGAACTAGATCCCACATGCCGTAACTTACACCCAGTGCAGGCAGACAAATAAAATATTAAAAAAAAAAAAAAAAAAGAGCAGGGTTCACACATTCTGGGGGGCAGGGGGGGATCTTTTCACCAGATGATGGGTCATCTGCTTACTCATTGCAGATGACCTGGGCCCCTTCTCAGAGCTTCAGAACCGGGGTTCCCGACACTCGGGCCCTTTCTTCACCTTCTCTTCCTCCTTCCCTGGGCACTCTGGTAAGTGCCATTCTTTCCCATGCCTGCAAGCGTTTGGAGTCCTGGAGCCCCTCACCTCAGCTCGTCGTTCTCCCACGCCTTCTCTCTCATGTCTCCAGAGCCCTGCCTCACAGAGGTTCCCGGCCCTTTGTGAGCACAGCCTGCCTGCCGGGTGCAGCCTCTGTCTAATGCCCCCTCCTCTCCCACCCCCCTTGTCCCGATGCCAGATTTCTCCTCCTCGTCTTTCTCCTTCAGTCCTGGAGCTGGTGCTTTTCGTTCCATCTCTACATCCACCACCTTTGTCCAAGGACGCCGCATCACCACACGCAGGTGAGGGCTTCTTTTGGGACCATGCCGGGGCTGGGGGGTGAAGTGGTGGTGGGGGGGCTGCAGACAACTCGAGAGGCAGCTCCCTGAGGGCAGAGCCCAGTCCGTCCTGTCCAATGCAGCGAGGAGCCCGGACAGACTGCCACAGGATTCAGGCCTGCCCACCCAGTAAACTGTGCTGTCTCCCACAGGATCATGGAGAACGGGCAGGAGCGGGTAGAAGTGGAGGAGGATGGACAGCTGAAGTCCGTCACAATCAATGGTGAGGAACGGCCCAGCCACTGATCCCTGGCAGGAAGCCCGAGGCCCCAGAGCCCCCTCCCCAATCTACTCCTCTCTGAACTCCCCTGGGCCAGGGAGGCCAGACTGGCAGGATTGGAGATGGTGATCCAGGGGAAGGGGAGGAGGCCGGGACACAGAATGGTGGGCTCTCAGAGGACCCGCTAGTCACCATTGTCATGAGTTGGGATGCCTGGAGTTTGCAGGGCACGCGACTATTTTTAAAGCCCTTGCACACACACTACTATATCCCCAATATTCTTACAAGAACCACGGAAAAACAGGGCAGTTTGCACTTGCCCTACTTTTCATTTGCAGAAACGGAGCCTCAGTATAGCTAAATGGTCCTAACTCCCAAGTAGCCCCAGGCCCGAGGCTTTGACCTACTTAGTGAAGGGTGAAGCCAGGACTGAAACTACAGGATGCAGGGTTCCTGGGGCTGACCTCTTCCCACAATGCCACGTGGTACAGGATGGTCACCCTTTGGTGCCCGCTGACTCTGGGAGCTCTGTGTGCTAATAAGGGCACTTGGCAAGCTGTCTTATTTAATCACTGGAACCATTTGACAGTGTGGGTACTCTATGTCATTCCCATTTTATGGATGAGGAAAGGGAGGCTTAGGGAGGTTGAGTAATTTGCCCAAAGAGACAGCTTGTATCTGCTGAAGCTGAATAACTGGCCATGCTCATAATCATGCTAGGTTTCAAAATGCATGCACCCCCACTTCCAAAGGAGGGGCTGAGAGTGGCCAGAGTGCATGAGTCTCCCTGGCAGGCTTCCCGCGGCCTGGATCAAAGGGCCTCATGGTGGCCGTGACCCCTGCAGGTATCCCAGACGACCTGGCCCTGGGCTTGGAGCTGAGCCGCCGTGAGCAGCAGCAGTCTGTCACCTCCAGGTCAGGGGCCACGCAGGTCCGGCAGACCCCTGTGTCACGACCCCCCGACGGCAGCCTCTCTGAGGAGGACGAGGACCTGCAGCTTGCCATGGCTTACAGCCTGTCAGAGATGGAGGCAGCTGGGAAGAAACCGGCAGGTGGGCGGGGGGCACAGCGACGACGGCAGGGGCAGCCCAAGGCCCAGAACCACGATCCAGGCATGCGGGAGCCCTATGAGGGTGCAAGGGGTGACACAGCCAAACCCAGCCCCTCTCCAGAGGAGAAGGCCGCTCGCTGCCTCATCCTCTGATCATCAGGCCCAGCCCACCCGATTCAGGGGGACCGGGAGTCCTGGTCAGAGAAGGGCATGGCCTGAGTTGCAGGAGCCTCTCTCCACCTCGGCGCTCCCTCCCAGGTCCACCTCTCCCTCCAGCGTGGATTTGCTGTGCTCAGCCCACGGCTGATAGGTCCCTGGTGAAGTCCAGGGTGGGGGGACCTCAGGGCAGCGGGAGGGCCTGAGGAGCCAGGATGAACTTAATTCTAATTAGACGGGGGAGTTTCTAAGGGGCATTAGTGGCTTGGGTCCAGCCTTTCACACCCAGGCCTTCTGCCACCTGTGTTGCTGAATGATGTCAAGGAAGGAGGACTTGGCCTGAGGTTCTCTGAGCCAGAGTGGGCAGCCACAGCTCTCCTGGTCGGCTGCAGACACCCCCACCCCGGTTTCCGCGCAGTGTTGAGCTCTGACGTCTGTCGCTTCCCTCCTGGTGCTGCTGCTCCCCCCTCGCACTCTGCTCTCTGCAATTCCCCATGGGCCACATCGCTCGCTTTCACTGCCTCCTGCCCGGCTGGGACTCCCTTCTTCCTTTTCCCCAGAAGGCCTCTTTGTGGCGAGGAAGATGCCATGGCCCGCAGGGCCATAAGGTCTTCCGGGGAGGCTAGCTGGGTGGGGCGGGAGCCTCTCGGCCCGTCCAGATTCAGAACCGGAGCCTACTCCTCCTCCCTTCCTCTTGCTGCCTCAGCCTGCCCCCAGCCTCCGGACTAGCCAGAGGTGAGGCCGGCTAACCCTGGAGAGGGGGGATAGGGCCAGGGTGCCCCAGGAGGGAGGCCTAGGAGGGACCACACCCCGTCCTCCCGCACCACGCATCAGGGCTCAGGGAGAGGCCACAGGGCTAGCCCAGGGCTGCATGCTTAGCTCTGCCCTCCACGGCTTGCGGCTGATCCTCTCTCCTGTCACCCCACCCCCGCTCTCTCCCCAGATGTGTTCTGAGCTGGATGTCCGGGACCCAGAGTTGCTGCACAGTTCCAACAGGACAGCGCCCAACCCTGTGCACTGGGAGGGGACCCTCCATCCCTCTCCCTCACCCGTGCTGAGAATAGAGCCGGGCCTGGGCGGTGGGCGGGACATGAGATGGGGACATTTTGTCATTTGATTTGTCCCTGGCAGGGGTGGCAAGAATGTGGATGAAGGGGGAATGGGCTGAGCTTCGTTTCCCCTGATACCTCTTGCTAGCGCTGGGGTTAGAGTGTACAAATCAAGGCCCCGAGGCATCTGGGAGAGGTTCTTTTCCTGTGGGCAGTCCTAGGGTCTGAGAATGATCCAGGGCGGATTGGCTGAGCAGGGTGTGGTCTCAAGAGGGCTGATGGGCATGGGTTGGTGAGAGCTTGGAAGGTGGAAAGCCACCCTAGTGCTCAGGGGTGTGTGTGTGTGTGTGTGTGTGTGTGTGTGACTGGAATCAGCGTGTGATGGGTGCTCCAGGCATGCTGCTGCTTGTGTGGCTCCTTTGGCCTCTGACCCTGCTGCCCATTCTTTCTCTCCAACACCACAGAAGCTGCCTCTCCTCCTCCCTCCCTGGGGAGCCCGGTGGCCGGGGAGGGAAGTGGTGGAGCCGGGGTATTGCCCGCCCCTGCGCTGTTGAGTCTCAGTGACCTATCAAAGCCAGCTGGGCTGAGCTCAGACCAAGAGGGAAACACTGGAAGTCAATAAAGCTGAGTTTCGAGAACTTGGTGGTGTGCTGCGTCCTCTGTGCTTCCTTCCCGCCCGCCAACCCTGTGGGGCCAGCGGGTGACACACCTCCCTTTATTTCTCAGGCATCCGGAGGTCACACGCCTTCCCAGCTGACAGCAGAAGCCCCCTCTCTGACCAGGTGGCCCTCCCCTAATATGGTGTGGAATCCCGGGCCGTGCGCACATGCCTCACCTCTGGGGGCCCCACAGCGGGCTTTCACAGGCAGCTATTGTTCTCCGAATGCAGGACCCCACCACCCAACTACTGCAGGGTCTGCAAGCACAGCTAGGACCAGATCTGACTGGACTGAAAGCTGAGGCCAACAGAAAGCCAGGATCACGTGGTGAAACACCTCTCAAAACCTCTTCCCGAGGCCCAGAGACTCAGCACCCCCTCCACAGGTCCTCTTAGCTTATGGCTAGCATCCAGTGGCAGAAGCCTGCCTCTCTCACATGGAGTGGCGTTAAGTCTGCCCCACACAAGGTCCAGGGTCCAGGGAGGTGAAAACTAGGTACCTCCTCCATCCTGTCTCTCCAGACCTGCAGAGATGCCCTCCCAGCCACAGGACAAGCACTTTTCCATCCTCATACAGGGTAGTGTGGCTTGCCTCCGACTCTCTCTTCCATTTGGGGGTAAGCACTGGGCTTCATCTTCAATGGCCAAAGGACCTATTTGTATTTTTCCTCAATACAAGGAAGCAGCATGCCCTGAAAGAAATTACAAGCCTCCGTCTTGAGAGAGAGAATCCGTTGGAAGTTTTTGCCTGCTTCCAGCCTTTGAGATGACCAACAGTGGTGTTGAGCAGCAGCAGAGCACAGGTGAGGGGTGGGGGGCCAGAGGTCCACTCACTGTCCCTTTGCTCTCTGAGCAGGACAGGTGGTACTCACCCATCTTTCATGTGGGGGCCTGAGCCTTGGGCTTCCCTGGAGGCTCAGATGGTAAAGAATCTTGNCACTGTTGTCCCAGGACGCCACATGATGCGTGGATGGAGTCTCCTCTGAGGCCACACAGGGTGGGGGCATTCTGGGGGAGTGGAGAGAAAGTGCCCTTTGCCCCCAGGTGAATGAATGTTGTGACATCTCACGGGCCTGGTCTGTGAGTCGTTACCAGAGTTAGGCTACTTCTGCTGAAGGTGTGGCGAGCACTTGGCCTATATCACCTCGTTTAGTCCTAACTTCCATCCTGCGCGACGTGTATTATTCTTGAGGCCGAAGGGTGCGAAGCTGCTGCCCAAGAACTAAGAGGAGATGCAGCAAAGAGGCCAAGCATGTCTGTGTTGGAATCCCAACTCCACCACTTAACTAGTCGTGGTACCTCAGGCAAGTTCTGTGCAGTCTCTCTGTCTGTAAAATGGGGCTAATAACTGGTAGCGAGTCCTGAAGATTAAACCAGTTAATGGCTGTCAAGCACCTTGGAGACTATCAGACTCATAGGAAGTGCAGCATAAAAAACTACTGCCCGATTGTCATTTGCTCCCATGGACGCCTTGGAGAGCCTGACTCCACTGCTCGGCTCTCCCATAATTGTCTGCATCTCCTGAGAAATGCAGCAGGGCCCGCTCCAGGCTGAGGCTGGGGCTGAAGCCTGGAAGCAGAGCAGAGAAACGCGTAGGAGGTCTGGTTGCAGCTGCACACACACACACTAACTTTATTCACATTGATACAAAAGTAGATTTTTCCAGAAATGTTCTCTTGTGCCAGGGGGAGCGAGTTGAGTGGCACGTGGCGGAAGGGTGAGGGGAGGGGGCAGGAGGGGCAAGGGCCACAGTGTGAGTCGTGGAGGCAGGACAGCGGGTAGCAGGGGCTAGGAGAGCAGGACAGTCTGGGCATGGTGGCCCCTCTGCCCCATTCTAGCCCCACTGGAGGGCGGAGGGCATCCACACAGACATATTAGGAGCATCCAGAGTGGTGGGAAATAGGGGTCAGGGAACTTGGACAGGAGGAGACTGTGGTAGAATTTGGTGCTCATGACTTTCCTTCTGACCGGCTGCCAGCTCCCCCAGGGGACACCCGGGGTTCCTGTATGCCCCCTCTGGCTTCCCCTTCCTTACACACTCCTCTTGGAAGGGCCTGACATGCCCAGGAGGGGCCCAGGTGGCGGGAGTGGCGGTGAGAGCGAGTGCGCAGATAGATGCTCACACAGGCAAGGAGGGAGTGGAGGCCGGGCTGCCCACCGAGGGGCCCCAGGGATCTCACTGGGGCAAGGCCTTGAGGATGGCATTTACCTCCTCTGCCACAGCTGTCAGGGCAAACTCAAACTGGTCCTGGGGAAGGGCAGAGGGAGGAGGGTCATGGGGAGGCCCGGCCTCTGCTCCTGCCCTGGGATGGGGGCAGCTTTGGGGCGGCCACTTGGGGGAAAAGAAGGGAGCCCTCCTGGGGGAGATTTGGAGGCAGGCAGGAGAGGCAGGCCGCTGCTACTTTCCCTGGGGAAAGGTCGTGGCTAGGGTGGGTGTAGAGAGAAACAGTCACCTTTGAGCGAACAAGGCCAGGCCGCTGGTCACGGACATGCTCCAGGGTGGCAGCGATGTCAATCTCCTTCACTCCTGGCGGGGAGGGGTGCGGGGACACAGAGATGCTTAGAGGGTGTCCAGAGGAGGGTAGGTCCCAGAAAGCCTAGGACATCTTGGGATGGGAGGCTCAGAGGACTGGATAAAGCCTGGGGGTGTGGCGACCTGCCCTCCACGGACTCCTGTGACCCCAGGGGCTGGGGAGACTCTAATCGGGCTGGGCTGGGGCCGTGGCGGGGAGGGGCCTCACCTTTGGCCATGCGGTTCAGGACCATGTCGATGAGGATGTAGGTGCCCGTCCTCCCGGCACCGTCGCTGCAGGAGGAGATGGTGACAGGCTGAGCTGGGGACCCAGCAGGAAGGGGGAGGGGAGGGTACATGGAGGCTTGGGGTGGAGCTGTGAGGGTTAGCTGTGGGGTTGGAGGGCATGAGTGAGCCAAGGATGAGGGATGGGGTCATAGCTCCTGGGTCCTGGGAATTGGGCCTTGAGGGGGGAGCCGGTGACTCATGGGGTGTCTCTTGGGCAGTGAGTCAACTGAAAAGGAGAGCCCTGCCTCCACCCCGAGGTGGAGGCAGTGAGAGGGAATGGCAGTAGCCATTTCCAGTCACTGGCCAGGCTTTCCTTCAGCCAACGTCTTATGTAAATGGCAAGATGGTAAATATTTTCAACTTTGTGGGCCACATATAGCCTCTGTCATGTGTTCTTTTTTTTCCCTTCAACTATTTAAAAATGGGAACATCATTCTTAACTCATGGGCCATTAAGAAAATAGATGGTGTGCTGAATTTGGCCCATGGGCTGTTGTTTGCTGGTATCAAGGGGACAGGCAAGCAGCGTGCTTGGGAGATGCTCACAGAGAGCAGGACCAGAGAGGGGGCAGGAACCAGGAATGTGCCCCCTTCAGGGCCCTCTGGCTTGGGCCTGGCCTGCCCCCATCCATCCCCCGCCACCCCCCTCCAAGCCTGTACGCACCTGCAGTGCACAATGATGGGGCAGGAGCGGCCCCGGTAGCACTTGTTCACCTTCCTGCAACAAGAAATGATCATGAGGCCAGGGGGCACCTGCAGAGGGAAAGGGGAACTGAGACACACACCTGTGGGCCTGTCTTCCTTTTCTCCCCACCTGCTCAGGGCCGAGGAGGGAAGAGGGCTGGACAGAGGAATCGGGGCTGGAGGCCAAGAACCAGAGATGGTGTGGGGGGCACTGGGCTTGCCTTGTCACTACGGGCCTAGGCTCTGCACCTGGAACAACTGATAAATCAGTTGTTCTGATCTATCAGATAAAACCTGATAAATCAAATCAACCAATAAAAACCTTTCAAGCCTCAGTTTTCTTACCTGTAAAATGGGGATGATAGTAATAGTAACCTCCTTCTTAGAGTTCTTATTATGTGCATTATGAGATAATCCATCTAAAGGACTAAGTGCTAAATCTGGCACACAGTAGGTGCTCATTAAAAGATGGCACTATTAAAGATAATACGTCATAATATTAACAGTCTCCCCTGCCTGAAGTTCAGGGAGGATAGGTGTTCTGGTGACTTCAAGGGTGTCAGAACACACCATTGCTCTGCCCCTGGGTGTTCCCCTCCCCACCCAGGCTCCTTGTGGTCCTCACCAGCAGTGAGGTCTGGTTGTAGCCCTGGGTGCAGAGTTCTGCTATCAAGGGGATGACAGCCCCTCAACTCTGAATATGTTGCTGCCCACTGTCTCCCTGGATAAGTCTTACCCCAGCACAGGTGCTCTGTGATTGGGTCATATTCAGACTGTGGGTCCACCTGGACCTCAGACTCTGCTTCCTGGACAGCAGCTCAGCAAGGAGCAGGTGGGCTCTCCCTCTTTCGTGGCCCAGTCTAACCTGCTATTGTTCCTTACGACATTCCTGATTTGAGAGTCACTTGCAGACTCCTGATACTCCCAAAGGACAAGGGCGAGGGAGAACCTTCTGAAGGGTTATTAGAGCATTTCAGAGGAGCTTGGAACTTAGTGGTCCCCCAGTCTGGTACCCCCAGGCTTGCTGGGGCCAGGTGACTTTGAATGGTTTTCTAGGAGTCCACATGATTCCTTAGCATATCGGCTGGTAGATCAGGGCTGGGGTTGAACAGAAGTTGTCACAGTGGCCCCCAGTCAGTTAAAAATAATGACAACAAATAGCACTTAGAATTAACAGAGCCTTTGCTATGTGCTGGGGCTTCCCGGGTAGCTCAGCTGGTAAAGAATCCACCTGCAATGCAGGAGACCTGGATTCTATCCCTGAGTTGGGAAGATCCCTTGGAGAAGGGAAAGGCTACCCACTCCAGTATGCTGGCCTGGAGAATTCCATGGACTGTATAGTCCAGGGAGTCACAAAGAGTTGGACATGACTGAGTGACTTTCACTTTTACTTTTGCTATGTGCCTGGCACTTAAAGTAGATTTTATAGATTTCATGCTGTTGGCTTTTGTAACAATCCCTTAAGGTATGGGTCATCAATCTCATTTCACAGGTAAGAAACAGATGCAGGTCAAGGAACTTGATCAGAGTCATTTTCTAAGACTTAAAAATTTATTTTGCCTTCCCTCTGATGGACCTTCACCAAAACAGTATTTATTAAGCAGCAATTAATTTGTTCTGGGTGTCTAATGCCAATTGGGTTTACATAATTCCAGCCTGAAGCAAAGAAATATAACCTTGTCACTTACCTGTGCAGCCTTAAAATAGGTCCATGCACTCATTTTATAAATATTTTTAAATATAGAAAACAAAAAATACCCCTGATACCCTTGATGGTGCCTTCGAGAAGCCTGTACTTCAGCTTGCATGGACCCCAGTTAGAAACAATTGTCTGAGGCTCAGAAACTACCCCCAGGTTCCCACTCCAGTTCTGCTCCTCTGCTTTCTGCCCAGCACCTAGAGACCTCAGACCGGCCTGGCAAGGGGCAGAGAAGCAGGAGGAAGCTGCAGTGTGGGTGAGGTCCCTGCCACGGCAGCAGGCTTCTCAGCCACCTATCTGTGGAGGGAAGGCAGGGTACTCTGGAGGCCTGGACATGGTTTCAGCATCTGAAGAGGGCAAGTCACCCTGTCAGTTTCCTGTCCCAGCCCCCACCTGGTTCCGTGAGTCCCCAGGAGTCCAGAGATCCCCCCTCACTCCCATTGATAGTATTTGTCCCTTCCCTGAGTCTCCACAGCCCCCCAGCTCTCCCAGCGCCCTTCCAGCTGGTCCCTGGGCCACAAGTCCTCATGTCCCATCTGTGCAGCGGCCACACCTGCCAGTGATCACTTTTGTGACTATGCAACTGGAGTGAGAATACTAGCTGCAGATCACAAAAATGACGCTGGCAGCCGTGAGAGAGAGAGAGAGAGAAGAGGGAGGAGACAGAGAGGGGAGACAGAGCAACGGAGAGACAGAGACATGTAGAGAAAGAGAGGAGGTGGAGGAGACAGAGACAGAGAGAGGCAGAGTAAATAGGCAGAGATGGGAGGGAGGTGGAGGAAACAGCTGAGAGACGGAACAGGGAGAGGTACAGAGGGGGGAAATGTGGCTGGAGTGGGGGAGTGAGACAGACTGTGAGACAGAATGATGGAGAGAGAGCTGAGGGTGAGAGGGAGGGTGGGGGAGAGAAAGGCGGGAAGGAAGGGAGGGAAAGAGGGAAAGAAATAAAAACAGAGGCAAAGAGACATAGGGTAAAGAAGCGGGGAGGCAGGGGGGAGTAACAGAAAGCAAGGGGACAGCAGACATAGAGGACACCAGGAAACGCAGGACAGGAGGAAATAGACAGCAAGGATCAAGGAGAAGGAGAGGGGAGAGGAGGGGGTTAGAAATAAGACGAGCCTTTCATGGTATAGGGGGCGGAGGGAGAAGGTTATGGAGAGTGGGAGATAGAAAAAGAGGGCAAGAGAGAGGGAAGAGGCAGCCAGCCAGCAGAGAGAGCGAGCAGTCAGGAGCTGGACCACAGCAGTGGACGGATGGGCACAGCGAGACAGAGCGTCAGTCCTGGTTTTGGGGGGAGGGGGGTGTCTGGAAGGAGGCGCCAGGAGGTCAGAGTCAGTCCTGGTCTGGGGGTGTCTAGAAGGGGGCACCAGCGGACCAGAAGCTGAGGCTCCAGGTCGGGCTAGAGGGCCTGCCTCTCCTGACCTGGGGCCCCAGGAGGAGCTGATGGGCTGCGGGGAGACGCCAGAGCCCGGCTCCCGGCCCCCTTGCTCCTGGGCTGCTCTCTCCCGGGCTTCCGGGAGCCTCCCTCGGGCTGCCCCACCGCCCAGGGGCGCTCACTCACCTGCGGAAATCCAGGAGGGGCCGGGTGGAGGCCGGGGTGCCCTCTGCCGGCCAGCTGAGGAAGTGGAACTGCGTGAGCGTGCGCGTCTCCTGGGTCTGCACGTTCTTCAGGTAGAAGCTCCGCACCAGGAAGTCCTCGCACCAGATGTGCTCCGACACCAGGTTCACCTGCGAGGGTGGGGGCGCAGGCCTGAGCGCGGCGGGGCCTCTCCAAATCCTCCCGGCCTCCCAGGCCAGTCGGGAAGCTCACCCAACTGTCCCCAAGAACCCTAGCCGTCTGTGTCACTTACGGACTGCTCAGGACAACTGGTGGCTTTTCGACCTCGACACAGCTAGTCTTTTTGGCCTCACAGCGGGCTCTAAGCTCCCCGACTAGGGTTCGAACCCGCACTCCCTGCAGTGGCAGCTCGGGTTCTTAACCACTGGACCCTCCGGGAGGTCCTGTGTGCTTCCTGAAATCAGTTTCGCCTTTCTCTTTTGCGCAGAGACTAGCAAAGTGTCTGTGCTACACACACACCATAAACTTTGATAAAATTCTGTATTTTCATTTGATTTTCTTCTTTAACCCCAAGCAGGACCAAGTTTTAAAACTTAAAAAAAAAAGAAAAGAAAAAGTATTGCGTGCTCATCTAATGCTGAAAATTTGTTATCCAGAGCTCGTTTAGAGATAAGAAGCTTCTGTTGTGCAAATAACATCTCTTGTTTTATGGGAGGGGGGTCACTTCCCATTGGTCAGGAATGTTTCTCCCTCCTCTACTTTGTCTCTTCCCAGACACCCCACTTTTTTTTTCTATTTTTCATAAGCAACATATGTGATTGGCAGCATTTCCTTCTTTGCTTTGGCCTCCAGGAAACTCAGATCTAAACTAGACTCAATAAAAGTAGGACTAAGTCTTGGTCTTTGAGTATACTTATCTTCCCTGTCTCAAAACTGTACTCCTGGCTCCTAGCTTTTTACCTTAGTTTTGGTGGTTTTATAGTTTTATATCTGTACCTTTCATCATAGGTCCCTACAAGTGCTTTTCAGCCCTAAACTGGACACACACATACACACATGTATATGCATATATGTATGTATGTGAATGCTTTCCTGGTGGCTCAGATGGTAAAGAATCCACCTGCAATGTGGGAGACCTGGGTTAGATTCCTGGGTTGGGAAGATCCCCTGGAGAAGGGCATGGCAACCCACTCCAGTATTCTTGCCTGGAGAATCCCCATGGACAGAGGAGCCTGGCAGGCTACAGTCCATGGGGTCTCAAAGAGTTGGACTCAACTGAGTGAGTAAGCACAGCACAGCACAGCATGTGTGAGTATGTGTAGTACTTGGATGTTTATATGCACATATAGTTGCATGTGTATGAGTGGTGCACCATCTGCTTTTCCCACCCCCATTGTCTCCTGGCGGTGGGGTTCTGCTGACCTCATATACGTGGTAGAGGGAGGAACCCTCATCCGGCCAGTAGCGATCACACTGCTTGACACCATCCTCCACCAGTGGGGTCAGCATGACGATGACAGTGCAGCCACTCTCCCACACCATCTAGGGACAGATGATGTCCAGCACCCAGGTAAGCTCCATTCTAACCTCCCTGGGACCTGGTTGGCCCTGGCTGCCCACAAGGGCCCCCAGTCCCTGGAGACACCCTCCCTCCAAAAGCCCACCTGCCAGAAGTCTGCAATGGTATGTGACAGCGGGCCCTGTGTGGCTATGTAGGCTGGCATCCGAGGGTCGTGCTCAATCTGGGGGCAGGGAAAATACATTGTGAACCAGAATAGGAAATGCCATTATGGAGAGGTCTGGTCAAAGAGAATAGGCCAGGGTCTGGGGGAGCCTCAGAACTCCCATTTCCATGCCGGATATCAGGCCCACAATTCCAGGGCATTGGGGAGAGGGAAATGGAGTCTGTGGGGGCAGGATGAAAATGGGGGAGGAGATGGGAGCCACTCACAATGGGGCTGGCATTGATGTAATCACTCCGAGAAGGGCTGCTCTCCACCTTCAGCTTGATGCGAGCGTGGTCATCTGCACAGACCCCACACCCCACCCCAGAAACCCCTCCGGTCACTGGGGTCCTGGCACTTCTGCCACTCAGCCTGAACCAGCAGCCCAACCCCTACCCCAAGCCCTCCGGAATCCCAGCAGACGGAAAGCTGGGCCAGCAGGACTCACTCACAAGGTAGGAAGTCAGGGTGGCGGTTCTTTTTGATGTTGCCCTCGCCCTGGGCGGTGGCACAGGTGTTGGGCTCCGCCTGGTAGGCACACAGGGCCTGCCACTCCTTGGCCAGGCGGTCCCTGTTCCGGAGGTGGTCCTCCATGTAGGCCTGCAGGGACACCACAGCCTTCCCACTGCCAGCCCTGCCCCTCCCACCACCTGGTCCACTGCTCACCCGAGAAGGCTCGGGCGGACCCTCCGCCCGGTTGAACAGGGACTTTGTGGCCATGTGCTGGCGGCATAGATCCTGCAGAAGAAGGACAGGTTGGGATCCATGTTCTCCTGAAACCTTTTCAGCAGAGTCCTGGACTCAATTCAACAGAGTCCTTAGGATGGTCCTGGATTGCTTTTGAATGAAACCTGTCTCCTCTGGGGTGGGGTCTTCTGCCCTGGGTCTCATCCTTTCCAGGGCTGTTCTGCTTGGGTGTGGCCCATGACAACCTCAGATATTACAGAGCAGAATCCAGAACCCCCTGAATGGTGGTATTGGGGAGAACTTCAGGAACCACCTGTTCTCAATTCCCATCCATTCAAAATGCCCCCACGACACCCCTGCTGGGGCTTCTCCAGCCCCTGCCTAGATATCCAACTCCCTGCCCTCATCTTACATGAGACCCAGACTCCTGAGCCCCTTCCATTCCCTTGCATCAACAAGCTTCTGGGGATGCACACCTGGTACTCAAAGGTAGTGTCACCATGGGCCCCCTCGGGTCCCAGGGCGGCCAGGCGCTCCTTGTCCCGCTGTCGTGCATGCTGCCGCACACACAGAGCCACTGCCAGGGCCACGAGCAGCCCAGCCACCCCCGCCAGGGCCACCAGAGCAAGGAGCACGGACCGCATGGGAGAAGCGCTGTGGGCCGGTCGGGGAAGGACGGCGGCTGCCTCCTCCCTCTGTGGGAGCAAGGTTAGAATCAAGGGGGGCAGTGGTCGGGGGGGGGGGAGACTTAGGAGCTGCTCCTCACCCCTGTCCCACACCCCACTCCCTGCTAGGATATCTCCTGGGGAAAAGCTGAGAGGCAGTGGCATGGTGGTACAGGCAGAGGGACTCATATAGACCCAAGATCCTTCTTTCTCAATCCCCATGGGACCAGCTCAACCACATTGTACTGCCAGATACAGTACAGTGGGTGACTGTACTGTCACAGTGGGTGACTCTCCCTAGGAGTTTTTGCATTTGAAATGGATGTAGAGAAGTATAGAGACCCAGGAAGTCAATAGTAGAACATGAGGCATCAGTGTTGGATGCATAATAGAAGCATATTTTGAGTTCAAAGTCCTTTCTGGGTAACATTTTCCCTTGGAATTTGAGACTTTGCTCTAGCACATCTATGGACGGCTAGGGCCATCTCAGGTTGTTCTTCCAGGTGAGCTGGCTGCCTATAGAAGGCTGATCCTGCGGGGAGCTGGAGCCACTGGGGCCATCTGCTGGTCAGAAAGAAAACTGCATGGAGGAGGGCTGCTTCAGCAAAGGTGGAGTATTTCAGCTCTTGTTCAGACAAGACTGCCTTCATTTCTGGTGGGCAGCATCAGCCAAAGGGGACTGTGACTGATTCTTCGGTTATCTCATACCTGTCCCACTCCTGTCTGCAAGATCTGGAGCCCTGTCTGTGCTTCCAGTTCAGACTTCACCAACCCTGCAGGGAGGACGGAGGTCAGATCTTCTCCAGCCCCCATACGGTCTCCACCCCATGCCATGCAATGCCCCGTGGCAGGCCGGGCCCATATGGTCTGGGTCTGGGAATATTCCCGAGTCTGGGAATATTTCAAGGAGAGCATCAGCCACCGGCCTGGGTCTATACAACCAGGGCTGGGGCCAAGAAGTATTTACCGGCTTGCTGGGTCACATCGGCCAAAGACAGGTTCTGTTCATTGTGCCGGATGCGGAAGGTAAGGGCTGGTCCCACGACACTGCCGAATAGGAGGTATATTACTGCCTCACCCATCACAGACCCCAGATTCAAAATGAGAGATCCGCTCTGGCCCTCTCCCTATTAGAGGATGGGGCTGAAACCCATGCCATACAGGGGTGTTTCAGGAGGGAAGATACTGGACAGGCCAGCAGCAAGGCGAAGTGTGGCTGTACCTTCAATGCAGCTGGAAACATCTGTGACCTAACCTCTGCCTCTTACCCGGAGTTCGTCTTTCCCTCCTCCCCTGAGCCCCCCAGGCCCCACCCCCTTCAAGCTACCTGATGTTGATGAAGCTGCCCGAAGACATGTGCACGTGCTCAGCCAGGATCTCCAGCAGCCTCACTCCTGCAGCCAGACTCAGGGGCCTGGAGTTGCGGAGCCGGTGGAGGAAGGAAAGTGGGGACACTCTTGGCCACTTTCTTGAAACACCCTCCAAGGGTGCTGAGACATCCAGGGGTGCAGAGCAGTACCCCCTGCCCCATCTACTTCACATCCACACTTCTGCTCTTTGCTTCTGGCCAGGCAGGCCAGCCCAACCCCCAAGGGACAAGAGGCTGCCCCACGTAGGAGCCCTTACTTCTGGTCGGTGACAATGTAGCCGTATTCCTCTGCTGATGGCTGAGCGGAGGGCTGCCCCACCGCAGTGGGCTGGCTCTGGCCCACTGGGCTTTTCTTTTCTACCAAGACTGGCGTGGCAGGGGGCCCAGCAGCTTTGGTGGACTCAGAGGATCCGGCGCTCAGCTCCTTCTGGGCTTTATTGGAGGTGGAACCGCCAGTGGGGGATCCAGGCAGGGAGGGCGTCGGGGGCGGAGGCTCCACTGGGTCTACTCCCTGAACCTGCTTCTCCATTGTCTGTTTAGAAGAGAGGACAGAGGTAGGGTCTCTAACAGTGAAAGGGTTAGGGAGAGGGGGTCTACAATCTGGATCCTGAGCTCCCATAGGGGTGCTTATGACTTGTTTCTCTTTCTATCCCCAGGCCCAGGTCAGCATTGGATACTGAGAGGGCATCTAGGAAAGTGAGCCAAGTGGATGAACAAGACTGCCTTCATTTCTGGTGGGCAGCATCAGCCAAAGGGGACTGTGACTGATTCTTCGGTTATCTCATACCTGTCCCACTCCTGTCTGCAAGATCTGGAGCCCTGTCTGTGCTTCCAGTTCAGACTTCACCAACCCTGCAGGGAGGACGGAGGTCAGATCTTCTCCAGCCCCCATACGGTCTCCACCCCATGCCATGCAATGCCCCGTGGCAGGCCGGGCCCATATGGTCTGGGTCTGGGAATATTTCAAGGAGAGCATCAGCCACCGGCCTGGGTCTATACAACCAGGGCTGGGGCCAAGAAGTATTTACCGGCTTGCTGGGTCACATCGGCCAAAGACAGGTTCTGTTCATTGTGCCGGATGCGGAAGGTAAGGGCTGGTCCCACGACACTGCCGAATAGGAGGTATATTACTGCCTCACCCATCACAGACCCCAGATTCAAAATGAGAGATCCGCTCTGGCCCTCTCCCTATTAGAGGATGGGGCTGAAACCCATGCCATACAGGGGTGTTTCAGGAGGGAAGATACTGGACAGGCCAGCAGCAAGGCGAAGTGTGGCTGTACCTTCAATGCAGCTGGAAACATCTGTGACCTAACCTCTGCCTCTTACCCGGAGTTCGTCTTTCCCTCCTCCCCTGAGCCCCCCAGGCCCCACCCCCTTCAAGCTACCTGATGTTGATGAAGCTGCCCGAAGACATGTGCACGTGCTCAGCCAGGATCTCCAGCAGCCTCACTCCTGCAGCCAGACTCAGGGGCCTGGAGTTGCGGAGCCGGTGGAGGAAGGAAAGTGGGGACACTCTTGGCCACTTTCTTGAAACACCCTCCAAGGGTGCTGAGACATCCAGGGGTGCAGAGCAGTACCCCCTGCCCCATCTACTTCACATCCACACTTCTGCTCTTTGCTTCTGGCCAGGCAGGCCAGCCCAACCCCCAAGGGACAAGAGGCTGCCCCACGTAGGAGCCCTTACTTCTGGTCGGTGACAATGTAGCCGTATTCCTCTGCTGATGGCTGAGCGGAGGGCTGCCCCACCGCAGTGGGCTGGCTCTGGCCCACTGGGCTTTTCTTTTCTACCAAGACTGGCGTGGCAGGGGGCCCAGCAGCTTTGGTGGACTCAGAGGATCCGGCGCTCAGCTCCTTCTGGGCTTTATTGGAGGTGGAACCGCCAGTGGGGGATCCAGGCAGGGAGGGCGTCGGGGGCGGAGGCTCCACTGGGTCTACTCCCTGAACCTGCTTCTCCATTGTCTGTTTAGAAGAGAGGACAGAGGTAGGGTCTCTAACAGTGAAAGGGTTAGGGAGAGGGGGTCTACAATCTGGATCCTGAGCTCCCATAGGGGTGCTTATGACTTGTTTCTCTTTCTATCCCCAGGCCCAGGTCAGCATTGGATACTGAGAGGGCATCTAGGAAAGTGAGCCAAGTGGATGAATGAACGAATGAATAAAGGGCTGAATGAGTGACTATTCACGATAAGGAATAGTCGACAGGATGGGGCTGGACTGGGGAAAAACTCCAGAGTGAGGAAAGCTGGAGTTAGGGGAGAAGATGAACAGGCAAGCAGTGATTTTTCGACTTTGTTTAGCCACACAATCTTATAAATCCAACATGTGAAACAGACAGAGTGCCTCAAGCTATAGGGCGGTCAGGAGCCTGCCTGCCCCCATCCCTCCTTTTGCCTAAGGATCTCATTTCAGCGTGGTCTGACTTGACTGTAGTGAAAAAATCGGTGAATCAAGAATTCTCACTTCCAGTCCCAGCTCTGCCTTCAGCCTGAGGTGAGACTTTAAACAATGCCTTGCAGCCTCTGGGCCTCTGTTGAAGGGTCAGAGAATACAGATTCTGGGTCCTGAGCCTGAGATTTAGATTTCAGCTAAGGGCATTTGCTGCCTTACGGGTCAGGGAGGTGTTGCAAACTCACTTTCTTGACGTCAGCTCCAACATTTACAACCCCTCCTGTAGAGACAGGAAAAATAAGACTCTGGGCAAAGGGCCAAGGCCAAGGTCCACACAATGCAGGTAGGAGAAAAGGCTGGTAGCTCGGAGTCTGTGACATCTGCCATGGGCTCTCCCCGCAGTCAGTAACCAAGGCTGTTGTTGGGTTCATCCTAAGCATGGCTGCATGCCTCTGGGTGTGTTAGTCCTTCAGTCGTGTCTAACTCCTTGTGACCACAGGGACTGTAGCCTACCAGGTTCCTCTGTCCATGGGATTCTCCAAGCAAGAATACTGGACTGGGTTTCCATGCCCTTCTCCAGGATATCTTCCTGACCCAGGGGTTGAACCTACTTCTCTTGTTTCTCCTGCATTGGCAGGTGGATTCTTTACCACGGTACCACCTGGGAAGCCCCATGCTTCTGGGCTTCTGCATCATGGGCTCAATTACTTCAATTGTATTCGCCTCTTTGTGACCCCATGAACTGTTTCCTGCCAGGATCCTCTATCCATGGGATTTTGGAGCGGGATGCCGTGCCCTCCTCTAGGAGATCTTCCCAACCCAGAGATCAAACCCACATCTCATGTCTCCTGCATTGGCAGGCAGGTTCTTTACCACTAGCGCCACCTGGTAAGTCCCTTCTGCTTCATGCATGCATGCATGCTCAGTAGCTTCAGTCGTATTCGATTCTTTGTGACCCCCACAGACTATAGCCCACCAGGCTCTTCCACCCATGGGATTTTCCAGGCAAGAATGTTGGAGTGGGGGTTGCCATTTCCTTCTCCAGGGGATCTTCCCAACCCTGGGTCTCCCACATTGCAGGCAGACTCTTTACCTTCTGAGCAACCACTGCTTGATCAACTCCTCCCTGTTTTTGGCCACATCCCTCAAAGCTACTCTTTGTGCAGTCCTCTCTTACCTGTCAATCATTGGCTTCTTAGCAATGGCCATGCCTGCCTTAGGTCCTCAGCATCCTCTGCCTAGCCTTCCCGGTGCCTCCAGATCCCCAGCTCACACTCTCATTGGCTTCTTTTCCCATTACTTCCATCTCCCAGTCCTTTCCTGCTTTAACTCCTCAGCTCACCACTTCACCCCTTGCTTCCTGACCGTGGCTGTCAATGACTCCGGGTCTCAAACCAACTCCCTCCCCTAAGCTTGGCCCTCCCCTCTAGACTGTTTCTTGTGGCCTTGAGAAGTGGGGCAAGAGGCCTCCGTGGGGCTGGCTGTCTCTCTGCCCCGACACTCACCCGGATTTCGTCCGGCACCCTTGGGCAGCAGCTGCAGCAGGGTTGAGAGGGTAGAGAGCTGCTCCGGGGTCAGCTGACGCAGCTCCACGCCATAGCCTGCCAGCACAGCGGCCACTCTCTGCAGAGTCACATCTGCTGGGAGCCAGACACAGGGCTCGGGACTGGTGCCGGGATGAACTTATGGGATGAGTTTGCAGGTGGGTGGGGACCCCCACATTTAGGAACTTCTCAAACACCAGGACACTGATGCCTTCCCCTTCCCATCCATGTCCACACTTTGGGGGAAAGCCCTTCGGGTGCCAAGACCAAACTTCAGGCCCAGTAGGGACTCCTTGATTCCCTAGCTGGAGAAGGCATGTCAGCTCCACCCGCTACTGTATCCCCAGTGCCTACTTATGCCCGGCAGAGAGCAGGTAGTCAGTAGGCATTAGTTGAGTGTACAGATGACTTTAAGGACAAATTAACAAGTTCATGCATAGTCAGGACAGACCCCTCCCAACACTGCCCCCCCCAGAAAGCAGCCCCATAGGCATGGAGTGGATGCTGAGGCCACGGTTACCTGGCTGCTCTGCTGGGGCGGGAGGCTTCTCCCCATGACCTTCTAGTCCTTCCTCCTCATAGCCCTCCGAGGAGTCCCCTGCCCGGCTGCTGCCCCCTGGCTCTGGCAGCCTTGGTGCCCTGGCCCTGCTGGGCACTTGTGACTCCTGGGCCAGGTAGAACAGCTCTGACTCCTGGAAAAGCTGAGCAGGTGGAGGCCCTGGGGGGTCCCCATAGGAGTGGCCAGGGTGAGCCCCAAACATGCCCTTGGAAGCAGTTCGGCTGAGGAAGGCAGGGGCTTCAGCCTTGGGCAGGGGGTCAACACTGACCATTCCTGGGGAGCTCTCTGAGCCCCGGGAGCCGTCGCGGGAGCCAAACTGTGGGAAACCAGAGATTGGGATAAGAGCAGATGTCAGCATGGGGATTGGGGTTGGGAGGGGGCCAGTGTCTAGGGCTCACCTGATGGAACAGGTAGGACTGCAACAGGGCAGGTTCATAACTCAGGGCAGGATGCGGGGGCTGTGCGGGCAGCAGCAGATGCTCCAAGAGAGAGGGCAGCAGCTCAGCCTGCAAAGGGGACAGGGGGGAGCCCGCCCCAGCTCCACCCCCGCCTGCGGAAGGTCGAGGAAGCCGGTGCTGCGGAGCTGGGGCGGAGCCAGTGGGGATGCCCTGTAAAAGCAGCTCCCCAGCGGGACCAGGTCTCCTGGGCACCAAGCCAGATCTGAGGAGGAAAGCAAAGTGTGTGTGTGCATATGCGTGTGCGTGTTGGTTGTGTGGGGCAACAGTGTACAGAATCTATGAGGCAGAGATGCTGGGGGCCAGGCAGGCTTAGCCTAAAGTAAATCTGATCTCTCAAGAGATGAGGTAGCCTCAGGAGAGGAGAGAATAGCATGGAGAAAGGCCAGAGGTCTATGCCTGGGTAGAGGTCATCACCTCCCTGGTAAGCGTGCCTGGGTCCCTGAAACACAGCAGCAGAGCTGATGAAGCATGAGGCTAAGGACAGAAAAGGGGACAGTGGGGAGCAGGGGAAGGGAGCTGGGAACTGCTCTAGATGAACTGTGGCTGAAACTTGCTCCATTTCCCCTGTGTGCATGTCCCCAAGTACACATCCAAACATTCAATGCCGTGTCCCACCCTACCCCACTCTGCCTTCTTCACCTGGCATCATCCTCTGAGCCCCAACCCCTCATTTACTTTCCTTTGCTTTACAGGGCCTGACTGATGCTTTCAGAGCCCCTAACTACAATAAGAAGATGGTACCTCCTACCATCTAGTAATAAAACTGAACATTAAACAGCCTCAGTCTGACAAAATTCTAATCTGTTCCATGATGACTGCTTTGATGCTTCTTTTAAAATGCCAAAAGTCCAAATGTTTCAAAACAGTCTTTAACATTGTGAATCAACTATGCTATGATAAAAATTTTAAGAAAATACTTTATCTGGCAAAAAAAAAAAAAAACAACACCCAGTTTCGAATCCCCTTGTTTTGCTAGATGCCCAGGGATGAGCTCAGCTCATGTTGGGCATGTGAGCATATCAAATGACCACTCCAGAGCCTCAGCCTGCTGATTTCTGTACATACTTTCCTCTCTCCCTCAGGAGGACCACAGATGCACCAGCCTTGCCATGCTAGAGCTGATAACAAATGATGCCTACCTGTCCCTTGGATGAGGCTCTGGGGGGCGAAGCCTGGGGATACGCTCCATCTCCTGGGAGATCACATACTGGGTAAGGTCATCATGCCAGGACAGTCCTTCCAGGGAGAGAAAAGAGTGAGATGGAGATTGTCCCTCAGGCTTGGAACAGTTTGAGGGCTCAATAACAGGGGCCAGTGCAGATCAAAAACTGTACCCTCTACCCTGCAGTATGCTGAACTGGGCAGAGCCGAGGAGCAGTGGAGGGGGTCCAGAGACCTGGTGGGTGATCTGAGCTGTCCTTTCCACCCCCCCAGCCCCGCCCCCAGGTGCAGATCTGGAAGTGAGACGGCCTCCGGTGAGACTGGGTTTAAATCCTCTGCCACTTACTAACTGTATGTTCTTAGCTGAGCCTCTCTGAGCCTTAGTGCTCTCATCTGGAAAATGGGGGTTTATACCTCCTAAAATTGTTGTGATAATTAAAACACAATAGAAAATGGTTAGAATAGTACCTGACACATCATGAGTATTCAATAAATGTTATCATCATCATCATCATCATCAATATTATTATTAGTCTTATTTTTATTGATCCTGAACCTTAGTTTTCTATATTTGTGGTGGTGGTGGTGATTTAAGTGGGAATAACATATACTTTGGGTCTGTAGTAAAGATTAAATTCAATCAGGGACTTGAAAATGCTTGGAAACCTCCAAAGCATTATACATCTGTTTTAAGCTTTCATCAACATCATCTTATCCTGAAGGCAGATCTCCTATTTGACCATTTCCCTCCATGAGCTCTGCTTGCAGGAAAAGTCAGTCATCTATTCTAAAAGGATAACCTCCCACTCTATAGTCCCACCTACTCCCATTCCTTTTTCCTTGCTTCTGGATTAATACTCATACTGCTCTTAACTCATATCATGGGATCTATACCTGTCTTTTTGCCTATTAACATTAGATGAACTATCTGTGTTTCTATAAAAGGCCAATCCTCCACTTGGGCACTAGATTTCATCCCCTGCTACCTATTCAAGAACATCTTCCCCACAATTGTCCCCTTTCTCCTATGTCATCATTTTCACCTGTTGTCTACTGAATTATTTCCTATTCACATACAAACACAATGCAATTTCTCCCATCTTATAATAAAAATACTGCCTGAATGCCACATTCCCCTCCAACTATCACCCCATTTATTTGTAGCAAGACTCTGAAAGTGTTATCTCTGCTGGCTGTATCCACTTCCTTTTCTCCCATTCCCTCTTACCCTCTCTATTCAGGATTCCCCCCCCCCCCACAACTATTCTACTAAAACTGCTATCATCAAGGTCACCAGTGGCTTCTGCATATCTAAATCTAAGGTCAGTTCTCAAATCTCATCTTACTTAAGCTACCACCATCATTTGACACTGTTGATCCCTCCTTCCCCCTTGATACCCTCACTTAGCTTCTAGGACACCAAACACTCTTGTTTCTCCTTCTACTCCATTGGCTCCCCCTTCTCAGCCTCCCCTGTTGATTCCATTCCTTCTCCTGGTCCTCTTAATAGAATTCTTTAGGGTTTTTCTTCATATTGACTCAATCCTTTGACTATTTCATCCACCTCATAGGTTTAATTACCTCTATATGCCAAAGAATTCCAAATTTATATCTCTGCTTCAGACTTCTCTCTCTTTCAAAACCCAATCTTATATACTCAACTTTCCATTCTAATTGAGTGGATATCTTGAACTCAGTATAATAAAAAACTGAGCTCCCCCCGCTCCCCAAGTTGATACTTCTGCATAGTTAATATTTTAATGTTTAGTGTTTTGGTGTGTACCATTGATTCCCTACATTCTATTCTCAACACAGCAGCAAGAGAGATCCTTTTAAAGTAGAAGTGATATCAAGCACCCCTATGCTGAAACCTTGTGATGCTTTCCTCTTTTACTCAGAGTACAGTCAATGTCCACACATTCCCCTATAAAATCTTAGAACATCATTACCTACCTGACTGCATCTCCTGCTCTGCATCTCCATCACTCCTCTACAGACTTCTGTAGAGATGTTTTCCATGGTGTTCCTCAAACTCATGCTCCTATCTTAGGGCTTTTGTTCTAGATCGTTGGCCAACCAAAACACTGTTTCCTAAGATAACCTTCTGGAAAACATCCCCACTTCCTTGATGTATTTATTCAAATTTCATAGCCTCAATAAGATCTATCTTGACCACTCATTTTAATACTATGGCCTCCTACCTCATCATTTCTGATCCCTTTATCCTGCTGTAATTGTTTTTTTTCCATGGCTCTTATCCCTTTCTAACATACTAATGTTTTCTAATTTATATAATGTAGTCCCTCCCTTCATCTCCTGAATATAAACCCCAGTAGGCAGAGATCTTCATTTCACCCCTTGATAAATCCCAAGCACCTAAAACTGTTTGCCACATAGAAGTACCCAATAAATATTGGTTGAATGAATGAATTGAATGAGTGGGGTGTTCTCCTGGCTGAGAACCCCAGGATTCACAGCTCTGGAGTACTCAGTCAGTTCCAGAGAGTGGGCTGATCTCAAAGAGATGAATGCTGGCCTCTTCCAGTGGCTTCTTCTAGCAGCCTCCTCTGGATTCCTCCAGAGAATCTAAGTGTGAACAGCCTATCTCTAGAGTTCCACCCCCACTCCTGTCTCCAGGAAGGTCTGGGAAGGTGAGGCTCCACAGTGAGTGGAATGTTCCATGCGAGAAAACCTGGAGTCAGGTGGTCCCTCCCTTCCCCATCTCATCCAACCAAGTTACAGCCTCTCTCCTCCAATGCATCTAGACCTCACCTTGGGACATGAGCTGCCGGAGCACATCTTGTAAGCGTTGAAGAACTGGGGATGTGACTTGCAAAAGGGGCCGGGCTTGCCCCACTCCCACCTGGCACTGTCCAAACAAGCCATCTAAGAGCACAAAAGTGGTGTCAGCAAGGGGTTTGGGCAAAAGGCCTTCCAAAGTCCAGTCTGCAAATAGACAGCTCTGTCTCTATCTCCTCTCTTGGCTTCAGAGAGCTTTGCTCCTCCAGGCCATCACCCCCCTCTTCTCTCCAAGTGCATTTCCCCTTCTGACTTCCAGGCACCCGCCCACACTCACGCTACTTTCTCATTGTGTACCCTCCCCCACCCCGGCTTGTAAATCCTACGTTTGGTTTCACTCACCCTGAATACAGACTTCAAGGTGAGAGCAGAGTCTGCGATCAAACAGACAGCCTGTAAAGAACAGGTGAGCAGAGAGGCTCAGACTCCCCCATGCACACAGTGGTCAGATGGATGAACAGGCTAGGGAAGGGGGAAGCAGATGGGATCCAGTCTTTCATTCTAAGGAAGGCTTTAAGCTGGGAGGAGAGGAGGGCAGAGGCCTCCTCTTCTTAAGAGGAGGATCTGGCTTTGGGTTTCAAAGATCTGCAAGTTTGGATTCTTTCCCTAAAAGCCTCAGTTTGTTTAACTGAGTAATGGGGAAAAGAAGCCTTTCAGGTGCATGGGGGTGGTGATGGTGGAGAATCATAGATTTCTACTCTGATAGAATTACTGCGGGGTAGTTTATGTCCAAATTCAGAGGGAAAACGGACTTTCCTTCCCATATCTCCAAAAGTATCTTATGATGGCCTGGGACTCAGAACAGATGGGAACCCTAGCATACTTCTGCTTCGCATGGGAAAGGGTGGGATGGCTCTAAGGCAGTGCTCCCCACACTGTCCCTACAGTCCGCGTCCCTAGCCCTGTTGGCGCTGTTCGCGGTGCTGAAGCTCGGAGCCCTGCGCCTCTGAGGGTTTGCCTGGAAGCAGTTATGGGGGAGGGAAGGGCGACAGGGTGAGGAGCCTTCAAAGGACCTGACCTCTCCGCCATTCCAGCCTTCATCTTCCACCCTAACCAACCCGCAGCGCCACAGGAAGTACCTTGCCCTGGCCTCCAAGCCGGATGGGGAAGGAGGGCGTCAGACTGCGAGCTTGCGCCCCTTCCCCCATGCGCCCCCGGCCCCCACCCTCCCCCTGCCCATGAGTCAGCGCTGACTGTCTCCGTCCGCTCAGATGTGAGTCAGCACCAGGCCTGGCTGTGGGGAGGGGGCGGGAGACGACCCCTCCCTCTTCACCCTCTTTGGCCCCCTTCCCCCGCCGTCCTCTTCGTGTCGGAGATCAGATTACAGAGATTGGCCTCTCCAGAACAGAAGAGGAACCCTGGCCCCTTGCTTGGTCTGGTCCTCTACGGAAATCTGGGACCCCGGAGCTCGTGGGCCCGACTTCTACTGCCTGGAAATCACGGTTCTCTCTCCTTCCCTCCCCTCCTCCACCCCTCAGCGCCGCCACTTTTTGGCGCCTCGGGGACACTTCCTTCTCTTGCGTCCCGTCTCTAGGTCCCTCTGCCCACACGCACCCCCTTTCCTTCTCCCCAAACTTGCCCTGAGCCCTCTTCTCTTAGGTCCCGCCCCTGGGTTCCCAGCCCCACCTCCAGGCCTACGCCCCTTTCCTCGCAGACGCCCTCTCTTCTCTCTCCGCTCACCGGGCATCCCCCGACCCCACTCCACACACACCTTCCAGCCGAGGTTCCCACCTTCGTGATACTTCCCACTCCCTCCCCTCCACACCCCCAGCACACCCCACCGAGTTCTGCTCTCGGCACCCTCCCCCACCCCCCGTTTCCTCCTGACCGTGGGCACTAATGGCGTTGCAGCCTCCCGGGCGGCTGCCCAGCAACAGCAGACAGAGGAGCACCCGGAGACCCCCCGATCCCCCGGGACCCCCAGGCCGCCCCAGGAGCCGCATCCTTCCCGGCTCGGCTCTCCAGCCCAGCAGCCAGAGCCGCAGCTACGCCGGCCCGAGCCTGCCAGCGGGGCCGAGGCGGGGCCTGCCACTCCCCACCCACCGAGGCGGGGTCTACACGCCCCTCTCGCCGCAACTCTGCCAACCCCAGGCGGCTGGTGACGACATCCCCACCCCCGGCTCTGGCGTCGATTTGCGTCATTCGTGGCGTAAAAGCTCAGTCTTCGTGGGGCTCCTACTCACCCCAGCCCTCCTACACCCATCAGTAGGTTCCTCTCTAGAATTCTCACTTGGCCTCAACTTGACATATTCTTCTCCCCAAGGGCCACCGCCTCTATCACCCAGTCTCAGGGTTGGCGAGATGGGTTCCCGTTGGGTGGGGGCCAGGAAGGATGAGTGAGTCGGGTAGTATAAACCTTAAGATGTGGAGCATAAAAATGAACAGAATGTGTCCTCTTTCGCATCTCAATGAATAGTTCCTCTCCCATGACTTCATGGCAAATGGATGGGGGGAAATGGAAACAAGGGTATAAGTTTGGGCAAGATGTTTAACCTCTCTACTCCCAAGTTTCCTGATCTGTGAAATGAAGGTGCCAGTAGTACCAGGTGGCTGTAAAGACTGAGAGAATTACACTCATGTGGCTCACTTAGAACAGTCATTGTACCAAACACTGGATAGGTACTGGCTTTTTTTGTTAGCCTCAACTCACCTTTCTTTCACCCCCTTCCATGGCTGGTCTATCAAAACCTTGTGGTTTCTGCCTGAAAAATATATCTCCTAACAGCCCACTTCTCTCCATGCTCACGGTCCTACCCCAACAATTGTGCTCTTTCATGACTATTGCAGTAATCATCTAACAAGACTTTTGCTTCCATTCTTGCCACCCAATAAGCTTGGGAGTGTGCTTTCTAAAGTTCAAAATTGATCACTTTACTCTCTTGCTTTTCAGTAAAACTTTTCCAAAATACAAAAAAAATAAAAATAAAAAGATAAAAAAGATAGTGGTGCATAGAAAATACTCATATACTCATCACCTAGCAGTTGTGTTGGACTCTTTGTGACCTCATTGACTGTAGCCTGCCAGGCTCTTCTTACCGTGGGATTCTCCAGGCAAAAATACTGGAGTGGGTTTTCATGCCCTCCTCCAGGGGATCTTCCTGACCCAGGGGCTGAACCCAGGTCTCCCACTTTGCATGCAGATTCTTTACCACCTGAGCCACCAGGGAAGCCCAACAATACTGGAGTGGGTAGCCAATCTTTCTTCTAGAGGATCTTCCTAACCCAGGAATCAAACTGGAGTCTCCTGCATTGCAGGTGAATTCTTTACCAGCTGAGCTACCAGGGAAGCCCAAGTTCCCTTCTAAAGGTTTCAACATGCATCTCCAAGAAATAAGGATATTTTCCTATACCACCAAATTACTACTATGACCTAACAAAATTGACAATAATTTCTGAATAGCATTTCATACTCAGTTCATATTCAAATGTCTCAAACTGTTTCCAAAAATGCCCTCTTTTCCGCTGTTTTGTTCAAAATAGCAGTCAATCAAAGACCACCATTGCATTTGGTTATATTTCTTAATTCTCTTTAAATTAGCATAAACAGTGCTTTCCTGGCCACCCCCTTCCCCCCATTTTTGACAGTTTCTTGTGGAAGAGATCAGGTCAGGTTTTCTAACTCCTCACCTTCTGGATTTGTCTGACTGTTTCCTCATGATATGTTTCCCTGTATTTCCCCTGTATATATACTGTGCATCCCTTGTATTTCCTGAAAAATAGGAGTTAAGCCTTGATTGGATCAGGTAAAAATATTTTTAAACAAAAAATTCACAGGTGGTTCTACATGATTCCAGTTGCATTATTTCAGGAAGTGCATAGTGTCTGGTTGTCTCACTATTAGTGATGCTAAAACTGATCACTGATTTAAGGTAGAAACAGCCAGATCTCTCTCTATGGTAAAGTTACATTTTCCTCTTGTGACCAGTATGGATGCAATCCATCAAAAGATATTTTGGCACTGTGAGAATATCTAGTCCCCCATCGACTTTCCACCTAATGGTTTTGCCATTCATTGATGATCCTTGACTAAAATGGTGATTTTCTATCATTCTTTTAACTGATCTTATTTCCTTTAGCTGACCTTATTTCATAAAGAAGAATTCAGAAGGTAGTTTCTTCTCTTTAATTATTCAATTGCAGAGTAATGAGTTGGTATGACAGTTACTGTCAAGGGTGGCAAATAAGTTTCTAAACACATTTGTTATCACTTTTCTTGTTGAACATTACTATGGAAATATGGATTTTTATATATTGAATGTGTATCAGTAATCACAGTAATATAAAAATTGTCCTGAAGTAAGTAAGTGAAAGCCTTTTTAAACTGGCTTTTGTTTCCTTTTGAAACATCCCATTAATCACTTAAAGCTTCTTTCCTTGCTTTGTATTATTCCAAGATGTGTTAAGTCTTTTTTATTCCTTGCCCTAGACATGGAAGCAGCCATTCCTCCAGAGACTCGGTAGCTTTTAGTAAAAACTGGTATTAGGGACCACAATCTGGGTCCTAGGTGTCATAATGACTACTGAGATGATTGATGTTGCTTCTAGGCCCTTTCATTGCATAGACTTAGGATATAAAGATACACTCACACATACACACACACCTCACACACACTAATATTTCCAGTTAAAATTTAGCTGTTATTTTTACTGAACTCTTAGTTTTATACCTGTATCTCTTTATTATACTGAAAAATTTGGTTTCTAATAACACTAACACAATCATTTATATGTTTGATCCTACAATATGCACACAATAATTTGCAAATAATATAAATATTATTCTCTTAATAAAACAGTGAATATACCTAAGACTTTGGGTAGTTTATTTTGTCCTTATAGCCCCAGGGTTATGCCATCAAAATACTGTGTTCTAAAGTCATTTGAAATAATTCTTTTATTTGTTTAGTCTTTTTTTTTACCAATCTGATATATAATTTGGTTTGTTTGTTTTCAGTATTAGGATTTGCTTTTTATTTTTATATACTTTTATTTTTTGAATATGTAAAATATTTGCATTGTTTAAAGATCAAACTCACATAATAAAATATACTCAGGAGAGTCTTCTCTACACCATCCACAATTGCCCCTGCCATCTTTATCACTTCACTCCATTTATTACCTTTTAAAAAACTTTGTAAATTGTGAAACATAAAAAACAGAAAAATGCATAAAGCAAAAAGGAACAGCTCAATAAATCATTATGAAATGAACACCCATGTATCCAGGTCAAGAAACTGAACATTTCCAGCACCCTAGAAGTCTTATTGTGTACACCAAACATTTCCTGTGATGTGCTAAAAAAAAAAAAAAAAAAAGAATCTGTGGTTAAACCAGCTATCTTCTTGTTAGAATGAGAGTCTTTATCTTTCGAGTTTCCTGCAACCCAGACAGAAGTGGAACTCTTTCCTTTTGAAGGATAATTTTGCTAGTTATAGAATTCTAGGATGACTGTTATTTTCTTTCAACACACTGAAGATATTATTTCTCTGTCTTCTGGCTTTTATTACTGCTGTCTTAGAGTCAATTATCAGACTAAATATTGCTCTTTTGAAAGTAATCCTCTCCACCAAATTCACAGCTGCTTTAAAATTTTTTTTTTCCTTTTCCTTTGCTTTCCTGCAGTTTCATCATATTTTTTGCTTTAGTTTTAGTTTTTTAAATAGTTTGCTTGAGATTTGTTGGCAATCTTCAATCAGTGGACTGATATCTTTTAATAGTTCTGGAAATTTTTCAGCCATAATCTTTTAAAATATTGCTTATGTCCTATTCACTCTCTTCTCTTTCTGGGATTTCAAGTAAATGAACAGTGGACCTCTTCACTGAATCCTCATGGTTTCTTACCCTTTCTTTCTGCATTTTCCACCCTTTGCCTCTTTGTATTTTTTGGAGGGAAGGACCAAGTTTCTTGTGACCTATCTTCTAGTACACCAGTTCTGTTTCAGCTGTCTCTAATCTGTTATTTTATCTATTCAATTAATTTAAAATTTGTGTTCTCACATTTTTAAGTTTTAGAATTTTTATTTGATTCTCTTTCTTTTCAAAGAACCAATTTTGAGTTTTATTGATTTCTGTTTATTATTTTCTTGTTTTCAATTTTTTTGATTTCTGCTCTCATTTCTGTTATGTGTTTTCTTCTGCTTGCTTTAAACTTCAATTGCTCTTCTTTCCCTGGTTTCTTAAAGTGTGAACTTGATTTATCGATTTTAGATCATTCTTATTTTCTAATGTATGCATGCAATGCTATAAATTTCCTTCTAAGTACTGCTTTCACTTCATGCCACAAATTGTGATAAATTACATTTTCCTTTTTGTTTATTTCAAAATATTTTAAAATTTTTCTTGAGATTTCTTCTTTGGCCCATGGATTGCCTAGAAAGGTGTTTTCCAGATTTGGGGGTATTTTCTAGCTATCTTCCTGTTACTGATTTCTAGTTTAAGTCCATTGTGGTTGAAGAATGTATCTTATGATTTCTAGTCTTGTAAATTTGTTAAGGTGTGTTTTATGGTGGTCTGTATTGATGAACAGTCCACATGAGCTTGAGAAAAATGCGTATTCTGCTGCTGTTGGATGGTATATTCTAAATGTTAGAGTGAAAGTGACAGTCACTCAGCGATGTCCAACTCTTTTTGACCCCATGGACATGGAATTTCCCAGGCAAGAATACTGGAGTGGATTGCCATTTCCTTTGCCAAAATCTTGATAAGATCAAATCAAATAACTGTTCTGTTCAGGTCATCTATATCCTTACTGATCTTCTGCTTGCTTGATCTATCAATTTCTGACAGAGGAGTATTGAGGTCTTCAATTATAAAAGTTAATTTTTCTATTTCTCCTTTCAGTTCTATCAGTTTTTGCCTCATGTATTTTGACATGTTTGATTCTTAAAAAAAAAAAATCTTCCAATCTTATTTTCTGTGATTTCTAGATCCTTGTCAAAAATTACAATTTGGCATTTATATGCTTAAAGTTGGTAAAGCACAGTTGCTTTGCT